TGGGTGCGCGGGCGACCCCGGAGGACGGCGGTTGGCCCGCGCGCTCCGCGGTGTGGCTCTGAGCCGGGGCTGACCCTCTCCGGTCGGAGCCTGTTTGATCCCCTGGGTGACTAGAGTTGTGATGAGGGTTACGTTAGATAAAGTATGAGCGTCTTTGGAGACTTAAGATGCCTCCTTCCCCACAATTACCCGGTCTGAGTTTCTTGGCTGCCTCGTTTGTCAATGTTGGAGGCATTTAGCCTTCACTTCGGCACGGAGCTAGCACAGAACTGGATTTATAGAAGAATGTCCAAAGTGTCGTGGAGGTAACGTGACTTCAAACTCTCGGCTGTATCTGCTATGGCAGAGGGCCTCTTGGCTGGACTCTACTTTTTCCCACCTAAATCTTAACCGAGGTTCCCCCTAGAAGACTCTGTCAACGGGGAGGGAGCGGAATGGAAAAGTGCAGGTAAACTGAGGAGCTCCAGAGATACGTCTGCGTTTGTGTTGACATGTTTGTGCATTTGCAAAGTTAGGCACATTCATCGGGGTTTCTCGTACTTTTCTGTTTCACTCCTTCACATTTTGAAATAGTCAAGAGAGAAAGTCAAGAGAGTGCTTACTATAACCCTGGCCTGAGAATGTAAATCTGTGTCTTCAGTCTATCCAGATGAGAGGTCACCAGGTGCTTCCAAAGCCGCCCAGGCTTGCTTTGCACTTTTCACATCGTGTGACAGTTGTCTTTGGTCACTGTGTCATCCCACCAGCTTAAAAGCACACAATGAATGTTTAACAAAGGACTAAGAAGATAATCTGGCACTGTGTCCTTGATGGTGGAAGGAAAGAGTTCATTATATAATGGTCTTGTTATCATTTGGGATTGTTTGATCATAACATGGAATAATGGAGACTTCAACTAATCCTCTGTTACAGTTCAGGCAGTATAAACCAGCTCTTAAAGAGACCACAGGGTTGTAGATAACAAGCTAAGCAAATGACTTATGTTTTCTGTTTAACCTGTCCGACAACCACCTAAAGTAACTCAGGGCCTTTAATTCTCAATGTGAATGTGCATTGTGTAGCTGATGGGCTGATCAGAGCCCCTTCCTCACATCCTCCCAGATACTCCCAGTGTCCTGCCTCTGCTGTGTCTGGGGTAGGTAGCTTTACTTTGCTCTGTCTTGCTCTGCTGCTGGTCAGGGAATTGAAAACTTTTAAAAAAATCAGACCATTGCACAGTGAAGATTAAACTCTTGCTCTGTATTTCCCACACTTTATTAAGCAAAATATCTTGAGCTCCTCTTAGGCATAGAGGGCTTTGGCTTCAGAAACAGTGAGAGGGAGTAATCTGATCTGAATACAAATGTTTAAATGAGTTAAAGGAGACAAGGATAAGATGAGGGAGAGAATGTTTCTGGGAGATACTTGGACACTATTGTGAGTTGTTTAGAATTTTTTTATGGATAAAAGATGCAGGGAAATTGGGCAAAACAGATAAATCATACTTATTCTGTGCTATCTTAGATGTCCATATACAGAGAGCTCTAAGCAGAACCACAGTACACTTTAGAGTCTATAGTTTCTAAACTACTAATTAGCCATTTTTAAAGATGCTTGCTTAGAAAATTACTGTTTAATTAATACTTTAAAAAAATTATTCAAGTGAGACATACCCTGTTAAGAGAATGAAAAGATAAGCTAAAGGAAAAGACAGGGAGAAAATACTTGCAAACCACATGTCTGACAAAGGACTTGTATCTGCAATGTATAAAGTACTCTCAAAACATTAACAGTTAAAAATAATAATTTGAAAATGGGCAAAGGATATGAAGAGACATTTCACCAAAGAGGACATACAAATGGCAAGAGGAACGTAAAAAGATGTTCACCATCATTAGCCATTAGGGGAAAATGAATTAGAACCATCAGGTTATATCACTACAAACCTAAGATAATGACTAAACTTAAAAATAGTGATAAACGTCAGCACTGACTGGAACATGGAAAAACTGGATCACTCACATTGTTGGTGGGGATGTAAAATGGTACAGCCACTTTTTAAAAACTAAATGTGTACTTGTCGTTTGACCTAGCAATTGCACTTAGGTCCATGCAGAAACCTCTACACAAGTGTTTATAGCAGCTACATTCCTAATAGTCCCAAACTGGAAACAACCCAAATGACCTTCAATGGGTAAATGGTTAAACAGACTTCGGTAGATCCATGCCATGGCATACAACTCAACAATAACAAGGAAAAGTAATGAACCGTTTCATGTAACAACTTGGAAAGTTCTCAGGGCAGTTATGCTGAGTGAAAAAAAAATCCCCAAAGGTCACATACTGTATGATTCCATTTATAGACTATTGAATTAACGAAAGTATAGAGACAGAGGGCAAATGAATGGTTGTCAGGAGTTAGGGATAGGGGAGAGAGGGTGTGTGGGTATAAAGGGGGCAGCATGAAATTCAAGATATTCAAGTTCTGTATCTTGAAAATGGTAGTGGTTACATGAAGCTAAGAAGGTGATAAAATCGTATAGAACCAAATACACACACACACGCATGCGTAAAACTTGTAAAATTGGTGAAATGTAAATCTGTGGACTATACCAATGTCATTTTGCTGGTTTTGATTGTATACTATAGTTATTCAAGATATTAACACTGGGGAGGACTGGTGAAAGGTTCATGGGACTTCCCTGTACATGTTTTGCAACTTTATGTGAATCTAAAATTATTTCAAAAGAAAAAGTTTACAAAAATTCTATGAAATTCAGATTTCATTGTCAATAACTGAAGTTTTGTTAGAACACACACACACAATTCAAGACTGTGCCGTTACAGGGGGACAACTAGAGTAGAAAGAGCAAGCCAGGGGAATGTCTATCTTCTTGTTTCCAGATCTGAAAAATGAGTCTCTTTATACAGACCTTACAGGATAAATTACATACAGTTAACATGTTTGCATTAAATAAATACTTGAGATGCAACAAAACACAGTAGAAAAAGCAAAGGTTTTAGATTTTGAAAGTGCCTGGTTCTCATCTCAGAATGATACGGACGATGAACTTTTCTAAGTCAGTTTGCTCATATATAAAAATGGAATTATACTTAACTTTATTATGAAGATTAAATGACCCACTATAGGTAAAAGTCCCACCACAGTAGATATATAATAAATTAGAGTTATTGGTAATTGAATAAAATAGAAATTTGAAATACTTTCTTAGTTCTTCTAAATTAAAGATTTAAAAATCTTAGATTTTTTTTAAAAATTAGCTTTATTGAGTCATAATTTACACACAATGAAACTCATTTTTATTGTGTAGTTTGGTTTTTTGACAAATGTACACAGTTATAAATTTGTATGCAGTATGTGTTTGTAAATGCACATCACCACAGATATACAAATATATAGGGCTGTAAAGGTTTACCACCACAGATAAAATATAAAACATTTGCATTATCCAAATATTTCCTTCAAGCTTTTTCCTAGACTATCTCCTCTATCCATTACGGGCTCAGTCCCTGGCAACCACTGTCCCTGGCAACCACTGTCCCTATAGTTTTGCCCTTTTCCAGAATTCATATAAATGGAACCATATAGTTTGTAGTCTCTTATGTCTGACTTCCATCACTTAGCAGAATGCCTTTAAATTCATCCATGTTGTTGGTGTCAATAGTTTATTTTTATGATTGAATAGTTTCCCACTGTATAGACATACAGTTATTCCCTAGATAATGGACTTTCAGGTTATTTCCAATTTGGGGTGATTATCCGTTTACCTCTGTAAACATACATGTACATGTTTTTGTGTTGACAGAAGTTTTCATTTCTCCTGGGTGAATACTTGGAGTGGGATTGCTGGGTCATATAGTAAATGTATGTTAACTTTATAAGAAACTATCAAATATTTTCTGAAGTAGTACCATTTTGCATTCCCACCATCAACGCAGGAGCTGTTCTGCATCCTCATCAGCCCTTGGTGCTGTCAGGCTTTTTCATTTTAGCTGTTCCTGTTGTCGGTAGTGATGTCCTATTGTGGTTTTAATTTGTATTTTCTTAATGATGTTGAACAGTCTTTAGGTACTTAGCTGTCGTCATGTGTCTTCTTTGGTAAAGTATCTGATCAATCCTTTGCCCATTTTTAAAGGAGTTGTCACCTTATTTATGAGTTGTAAGAGTTCTTATACAATCTCAGTGTACATTTTGTTATCAGATATGTGCTCTGTGTATATTTTCTCTGTGTATGGTTTGTCATTTTCTTAATTGTGTCTTTTGAAGGAAAAAGTTTGCAATTTTGATGAAATCAAATTATTTGCATACTCTTTTCTTTAATAAGTGGTAGTTTTTGAGTCCCAACAAATCTTTGCCCAAACCAAGGTTTAAAAAAATTATTTCAAAGTTTTTTTTCAGAAGTTTTATAATTTTAGCTCTTGTATTTAGGTCTGTGATCCACTTTGACTTAATTTTTGTATATGTTGTGAGAAAAGTATTGAGGGTTTCATTTTATTTTTGCATATGAATATCTATAACAGACTATACTTTCCTGATCAAATTACCTTGAAACTTTTGCCAAAAATTATTTGACCATGTATGAGTGGGTCTATTCCTTGATTCTTTATTCTGTTCCATTGATGTATATGTCTTGTCTGTCTTTATGTCAATGCCACACTGTCTTGATTATTGTCCAAACTGATTAAAAGTCAAATTTGAAATTAGGTAGTGCAAATCCTTCAACTTTGTTCTTTTTCCTCAAAACTATTTTGGCTATTCAAGGTCTTTGCTTTTCCATATGTATTTTAGAATGCACTTGTCAATTTCTGGGGGAATCCCGTAAAGATTTTTATTAAGATTGTTTTGTAGATAGAGATCAATTTGAGAGCAATACTGAGTTTTCCAATCCAAGGAAATGGTTTATCACTCCACTATTTGAAGTCTTCATTACTTTCTCTCAGCACTGTTTTATAATTTTCAGTGAACAACTCTTGCATACATTTTGTTAGATTTATTCCTAAGTTTTGCATGTTTTATGATGTTACTGTAAATGATACTGATTTTTAAAAATTTTTGGTTTCCAATTTTTAACTGCTAGTATACAGCAGTATATTTATATTTTTGTATATTGACCTTATATCTTGTGATTTTCTAAGACTCAGTTATTAATTCTAGTAGACTTTTTTGTGGATTCCTCAGAAATCTACACAATTATATCAGCTATGAATAAAGGCAGTTTTCTGCTTCCTTTCCAATATATATACTCTTTAGTTCTCTTTCTTGTCTCATCGTAATGGCTAAGACCTCCAGTACAGCTTTGGTTAGAATTGGTGAGCATGGATATTCTTGTCTTGTTCTTGATTTAGGGAGAAAGCCTTCAAGTTTTTACTAGTGTGATGTTAGCTGTAGGTTTTACTTAGATCCCTTTAATTAGGTTGAGGAAGTTCCTTTCTGCCCCTAGTTTGTTGAGAACTTTTATCATGAAAGGATATTGAATTTTATCACATACCATTTCATATTCTATTGAGATAACTTTTTTCTTTTTTTCTTTTGGTTTGTTAATAAGGTGAATTGTATTGATTGATTTTTGAATCTTGAACCAACATTGTATTCCTGGGATAAACCCCACTTAGGTATGATGAATTATCCTTTTTATAATGCTGAATTCAGTTTGCTAATATTTTTCACATCCATATTCATTGATTTTAAATCGTTTGTGAATTTTTGTATTACAGTAAAACATACATAACACAAAACTTACAATTTTAACCATTTTTAAGTATACACTTCAGTGGCATTCATTACATTCACCTTGTACGGCCATCACCACAGTCCATCTCCAGAACCTTTCATCACCTCAAACTGAAACACTCCACCAATTAAATACTAACTTCTCATTCTACCCCTCTCCAGCCCTGGTAACCACTATTCTACTTCCTCTTTCTGTGAATTTGATCATTCTAGGTGTCTCATACAAATAGAATCATATAACATATGCCCATTTGTGTCTGGTTTATTTCACTCAGCATAATGTTTTCAAGATGTATCCATGTTGTAGCATGTCTCAGAATTTCCTGGCTTTTTAAAGGCTGAATAATATTCCATTGTATGTATATACCACATTTTGTTTATCCACTCACCCGTTCATCTGTCAGTGGACATTTAGATTATTTCCACATTTGGTTATGTGAAAATGCTGCTATGAACATTGGTGTACAAATATCTGTTCAAGTCCCTGCTTTCAATTTTTTGGGTTATATCAAGAAGTGAAATTGTTGGATCATTTAATTCTGTGTTTAATTTTTTGAGGAACCCCAATACTGTTTGGTATAGCATTTTACATTTTCTCCAGCAATGCTTAAGGGGTCCACATTTCTCCACATCTTCACCAACACTTGGTGTTTTCTGTTTTGTGTGTGTGTGTTGTTTTTTTCAATAACAGCCATCCTAATGGGTATAAAATGGTGCTTTTTGCATCTATGTTCAGAAGAGTCATTGGTCTGTAATTTTCTTTTTTATAAATGGATTTAAGTATTTTGTAGAGTAAGTAAACAAATGAGAAGTCAAGGATGTCCTGAGGTTTCCTGGCTGCAGTACTTGGTGTGTAGTGCAAAGGAGACCCTGAAAGAGCAGATTGTAAAGAGCAGGGAACTGCAGCAAAAAGTACTGATTTAATATTGGGAATTTTGAGCTCACAAGGACTGTGGGCCATCCTGGTGGAGATATAAAGTTGGCAATTGAGAAAACATGAGGAAAGCTGTCGAAATGAGTAAGGCCCAGAAACACAGATAATGGAAACATCTACCACTTCTTGAGTGCCTATTATGTGCCTGGGAATTAGCAGCCCAAGTGCAGTGGCTATAGCCCCAGGACGGTGGGGCTCCTCCCAGAATGAGAGTGAACGCTGAGGAGAGGGCCAAGAGCAGAGCCTCGAAGAACCAAAAGTTAAGGACTTGGCAGCAAAGAAACAGTCAATAGAGACTGAAAAGTAGTCATAAAAATGTAAGATAAGTGACAGGAGGGAAGAGTGTCATGGTAATCAAAGTAAAGAATGGTATCAAAAAAGAAGGGAGTAGTTTTCCAATGTCTAACTGACTCCAGTTTTATTTTCCTCTTTTACCCATAGCCAGTGAGCATGTCCATCACTGTAATATGCATTATCTGTCCTTTTTAGTCGGAGCAGAACTGGATTAATAAGAAGAGCTGTATTAAGTAGGATTAATAGGGAGTACCCCCATAAAGTAAAATTTATAGCTGTAAGGTATGAGTGTCCTTTTTGCTGATGTAAATATTTCAAACCTGACATTCTAAATTAAGCTACTTTCTATTTCAATTCTGGAAAATAAAGATTAAGATTTAAGAATCATCTCTAAATTTGTTATTATCATTTTAACTCAAAAACACACCAGGACAAAACCACACCGGGACAAAACAAAACCCTTCACAACCCATTAGGCGTTTTAAAACATTTATTTTAGAAACCAGAATAATGCACTATATTTACTCACAGATATTCCTGTCTGTTACCAGATATTTTCAGCAAACAGACATCTTTAAGCATCTTCATCTGCTTTTATCAAACCTTCCAAGTGGATCCTGCTGCTGTTGACAACCACAGCAGCCTGCTGGGGGTAAAGTGTGGGGAGAGAAAAATAATCACATATTCCTCAAAGTTCAGAAATAATAAGACACTCGAGTGGGCAAAGCATACATTTGTGTGGTATCATATAAACAGCGATAGAATTTTCATACACACTCTAACATGAAGAATAATATAACCACGTCACATTTATGAATCAACTATCCAACTATTTTGTATTATTTAAAACTATGAAGTTCTAGATTTTTGTAGAATGGCTATTAAACTGATGAATACTTCTTTAAGATTATAATAATTACATATGTTTAAACACACATGATCTTTTGGAAATGCAGCTAAGCGCTGCCTACGGTAAAGGGTCTCGAAATCAAGCGTTACTGACCCGACATCATTATTCTGAAGGTAGGAAGAAAACGACGTATGACTTAATCACGTGTGCATAAATGTTTTTTTTTTCTCTCCACCCCAAAAAGTTTCTGCATTTAACAAACACCTTCTAACTGTCTTCTGTTTGAAGTCTCAAAGAGAAACAAGAGTTGTGTTACATGGTCCTCCCTTGTGAGTTCATTCTGTCTGGGGGAAGAGGGCAGGCAGGCAGGCAGACAGACAGACCTCCGCAGTAGAGGCAGCAGTGGGAGCACGGAGGTGCTGAAGATGCTGAAGGCTTCAGAGATCATTCTGGATGTGGAAGCAGGACTTCAGCAGCGAAAGTGATTATGCGCGGGTGGCAGTGATGGAGGAAAGTGCGTGGAGGGCGCGGCGTGAACGCTGCCTGGGAAGCAGCCCCGTGAAGAGGGTCTCCGGAGAAACGGGGGGAGGGGGTGGCAGCGCGTCTGTGCGGAGGTGGAGGGCGGGGACCCAGGGGAACGCACAGCTTAGAGAAAGGGGTCTTGGAAATGGTATTAGAGCTTTTAATCTTTACTGTGTGTGCATGTGTGTGTGTGAAAGTGAGAGAGAGAGAGAGGAGTAACTGAAGGCAGGAATGTGGGTGACATACCCAGAGCTGCCTGAAGGAAGATGACTGTGCTGTTAGGTGAAGGAATGATTTCCAGCCACATAAAAAAATCTGATTCTACTGTAAGGCCTGAATAAAACTCCCAATCTTGCAACATGAGAATTTAATTAAATCCAGGAAAGACAAATCCCAATACGTTTTTTTAATCCTACTCTTTCCCATATGACCTTAATATAATGCCCCCCTTCAAGTATAGGCATGTTGGAAGATTCCAGAGTTGAGTCACTTCATCTTATAAAGAAACGGAAATCAAGAGAAGTGAAGGGACTGGACCCAGTTTTACTGCTTTGTCAGAAGGAAAATCCGAAACAGGGTAAAAGGCTTTTAGAATCCATGTTTTACCTTTTCTCCACATCACCTGGCATTCAGTAATAATAATATTTGGCAATCATTTTTAAAGAGTTCTGGTTTAATTGGGGAGAAGAGAACCAAGTATTTTTGCCCCCAACTTTTTTGTCCTGCCAAGTATAAAAATTAAAGATTTTTCCAATGGAAGTCCTGAGGGAATCTGTTTTCATTAACAGAAAAGAACGTGTATAACTATTTCCATTGTAAATAAATGGTTATGCTTAAAAATTTGAAGATGGCAGAAAAGCAACTTTTTTTCTCTTTTTACATTTAAAGCCTCCCTGAATTTGCTTCCTTTTTTCCTTGGCTAAGTGAAAGAAGTTTCAGGCTATTCTTATGATAGTCACAGATCTCCAAATAATGAAGGCAAAATTAATTGATTCACATTCTGTGTAACTTTTGTTGACTACCTAATAGCAAAGAAATGCTACCAATGAGAGTAGAGATTTCTGTAAAAACAAGACATAGTCCTACTAGTGGCTTAATCAAATAGGATTTGGAGCCCTTGATAAAGACGCATTATTCCTCATTGAAAGCAAATTTAAATGTTATCTCTTCATTTAGATATATATGCTAATTCACTTATATGTATAAAGAACAAAGAACTGTATATAATTAAAAATAATATATTATTTCTCAACGAGAAAAAAATCATTTGGGAAGAGAAAAAATGTGAAAGCCAAGCAAAGGAAACTCAGTGTTAAGTATTATCGATACCAAGCTAAACATAAATACCACATAGAGTTGTGTTATAATAAGGAAGTGAGATTGAAAGGTTAAATCTTTCAGTATGGAGACAAAATTACTGAAATTTTCATTTTTTAAAAAAAATTTCCTGTGGGTCATTTTGGAGAGGAACAAGATCATTTCAAGTTGCTAAAATAAAGCAAAGTTCCAGGAGACATTAATGAATATGATTTCACTGGAAAAGTGTGAATGTGATGGGACAGATGTGTTGGATATACAGGGTTTGGTCAGATTCTGGAGGGTCTTAACATTAAGCTAAAGCACGGTGACTCCACTCTAAAATGTATGGTAAAAGCAATCCAAATACATTTTAAAATGTGTCAGACAAAAAATGCCGGAAAGAAAAACCTGTTTTTGGAAGATTCAGTAATACTGGACTGGGTCTGGGTTGTTGTGAAGGTAACGCAAGGCATTTACTCGGTACCTAATGAGTGTACTGTAACTCTCCGTTGGAATAATAATTGGGAGATCTCTATTTTCATCCTGGCTCTGCTCCTAACTTACCAGCAGGATCAACTCTACCTCTCTGGGCCTCAGTTTCCTAACATATAAACGACAGAGTTAAACCAGATGAACCCGAAGAGTCTCTTCAGGTTAAAAAATTCCAGTTATTCATGTTGAACCCAGATCTCAGGGAGCAGTCTCAGTACTTAAGCGATGTTTTCACCTCAAGCCCCTCAAGGAATAAAGCTAAATAAATTTTTTCATGGTCCAGTTTGCATATCATTATTTTGATCCAGTATTTACTTGATTTAAAAAATTATAAAATACACACAAAAAACCAACACAGAACAGTTGAGAACTTAAGTACATAGTATTATTTTAAAGATGTTTAACAACTCAATTCATACAGGTGGACAAATGCAATGGAAAGTAAGACCTCTATGGATTTTAAGAGATTAAACTCCACATTCTGCAAATCTTATATAAAAAAAAAGCCAATAAGCCTGCATATTAGTACATCACATTAAAATATATTTTAGAGTGTACTTCCCCTCTTAAATGGCAGTGATTATGCAATCGTGTGACCACAGAGCACTTGTATACTTTTTTCTGTTCAGCATCATCCATGTGCATGATGAATTCTGTTCGCTCAGCTCCAAGGTCTTTCCTGGATCTGAGCTTTCTGAGATTTCCTGTTTTGAAGTTAAACAGCCTCTGCCTATAACTGCAGCCATCCTTCCAGGAATGCCCACTGTCTGAGGCTGGGGGAACAGGTGGTCCAGAGGAGGATCTGAAGAACTCGCTCCCCTTTCTAAGAAAAGGAATGTGATTCAGTGCCTGGAGACATACCTGTATACCACAGGCAGTTTGTCCTTGTCACTTTTTAGGCAGGCAGCCTTGTCAAATTAAGTAAAATTCAGGCTAGAGACAGCTTTAGTGTGATTTCTGAGTTCTCTCTCTCTCTGGGGCCCCTAGTGTCAGGGATGGGAGATTAAGAAAGGATGTGTGTCAGAAGGGGCTGACTGCATCTTAGCCTTGCTTTTAAAATGCCACCGAAAGGCTGATGATAACAGATGTTTCTTTACAAAAGGACCCGTCCACCTGAGCGTTCATCAAGTGAGCTGCGTTTTTCACACACTGAGATTCTTGAGCCCTAGGGAATGGGATATGTGACAAAGCAAACACTCCTCTCTGTTTTCCTGCAGGTCGGATCTGCGGCTGCCGGCAAGGCCTTAGCCTGCGCCGCGGAGCGCTGACCGGTGAGCACAGATCACCTGCCGGCGGGGCACTGACAGAAAACCGCTTCTTCCCTTGAGATCCAAACATCATCTCAACGTGATGTTTTTCATTCTCCTGGCAAGAAAAGGTACGTCAGCTTCCGTCCACACTAGGGCACCTTAACGTGTTCATTCACTCACCTCCCTTTAATTTACAGTGTGTACACTTTCACAGCAACAGAAAAGTGACTTAATCAAAGTTCAGTCATAAACACCGGCGTCACGGGTCACATGTGTCTTGGTTGCTCTGTGTGTTTCCACATGCCTGTTGCCTGCTTCAGGTCTGCGAGGCCACCCCCCTTCTGGCACTTGCTCCTCTAAGCAGGCCCTTCAGCAGAGAATAGGATCTTGAAGGTCAGATCTTCTCGCTCAGGGTAAGTGGTGGAGACTTGATTCTTCCTTAGGAAATGCAGTGCTGGGTCTCACGGGGTGGCCTTGTGTGATTCCAACCAGATTGCTTTTGAACAAAAAGAGGAGTCAAAGAGAACTTGGGTTTCCAGATAAAAAATAAAGTGCTGCCCCCTAGAAATCATAGTCTCTGTGGAGTGAGGTGTCTTCCTAAAGAGGTAGAAACAACAGGGGGATGTGCTGCAGATGCTCGTATGTCAGTGACACTGAACACTGTATCTTTAAGGGCTTAAAATGGACTGACTCCACTCATCTCTCTGATTTTTTCATAAGTAAGCCAGAACACCAGTGACCAAGGGGTCTGAAAGATTAACCAAAGAAGTTAGTGCATATTTCAAAGCAATTATAAATATTCTACATATAGGCATACACATCTTTGCATGACAGTCATTTTGAATCTACTTAGGCTGCAAACAAATACCCTGGTATTCCACCTTTGGAGAGCACTGTATAATTGACAGAGCATTTTCATGTCTTATTTCTTGCTGATTTCTCTGAGAAGTTTACAACGGAAAGGAAAGGGACTGATACCCTGATTTTACAGATGAGGACACTGAGGGTTAGCAATCAGACGTCTGTTAGCAGGTGGAGGCACTAGACCGTGGGCTTCTGGCTCCAACTCCAGGGCTCTCTGTGCTGGACCATCACTAGATAAAAGGCTGGGACCTGTCATTCCTGAACTGGGCTCCTTTCCTCTGTATGTAGCTGGTGTACGGAACAAGACAAGGAGGCACTTAAGAACTCAAAACTAAAGATCAAAGATTATTGTTTGAGAGGCAGGTCATAAAACCAACACCTGATGTGTTACAAAACAAATATAGAAATTCACATAAATGGAGATGAGTGCTTTCAGCTTAGAAAGAACTGACTATGAAGGTGTAACTGTGCCAAAAGAAATCGTAAGGGGATGAGGGTTATTCAATAATAAAAGATGAAAACGCTGAAGACACAGAGGGAGATCACAGAGTGAACACTGCCTGGCAGTAACCATCAGGGAAAGTGTGTCTTGGGTCCAGTTCCTATCTGGTTTGCTTCATAGGTTAAGGGTAACATTGATCAGAGAGAAATTCTAGTCACACTCGAGTAGGGAAGTAAGCTTCAGCAGTTAGAATGTGAAGTGTACTTGGTGGTAGAGTTTGTAAAGGAATATTTATGTCACACGTGCTTGGAAGTATTGAGCAAGTTACACGGGTAGACTGAGAATTTACTAGTGGATTTAGGGGAACACATCTTGGTCAGTTAAATGTACGAAGATGCAGACAAAGTAAAGAAGCTATGACAATACAGTATTCTGGTGACAATAAAAATGAAGGGAGCCAAGGACCTAAGTGCCGCTGGACTAGAAGCAGAGGTCTTAGTTAAGAACGGACTGCACAGTCATCCCTAACAGCTCTGCTAGTCAGCCTTCAGCAAGCAAACTACATGCAAGTGAAATAAATATGAACCAGGGAGTGAGCAAAGCGAGGCCATAGGACCGTGACCTACTGGAAGGGGCTGGGACGGAGTTTAGCTGGGCTCTGAAGGGAAGTTCAAGAGGGAGATCATATAACCAGACAGCATCGTAGCATATTAATGGGACAGACTGAGGCCCTTTGCAGAAGCTCATGTAGGCAGGACATGCTTACTTGGTTTTTCCCCGCTGGCACAGTGGTCCAACTGAAAATAATCCAGGTGTATGTGAACCCATGTTGTCATAATTGCTGGGGGAAGAAGCGGCTTTTCTCCACGCCTGTTACTGTGCGGCTGAGCACAGAAGGGCTCTCGGGTTGATCTTCTTCAAAGTTAAGTTTACAAATAAGCTCTTGCTGTTACCATTCTCTGTTCAGCAAGCAACCTTCTGATCATAACTTGGCTCCCCAGACAGCTTGAATTTAGCTGTCCGGAGGACTGCAGCATCTGGACCATTGGCCAAGTATGTTTCTTGGTGTGGATGCGCCAGTGTTGTGGCCCCATCATCAGTTTCAGTGAGTTCGGCTGAAGGGAATCTGAGTGTGCAAGGCCGATTTACTTGGCAGTACTCACGAGACAGGCTTCTAAGCTCACGGTCCTGCCCGGTGAAGGACCAACAAGGCAGCGCCACCCTGGTGCTCTTTGGTGGTGAGCCAGCCTGTCTCTGGTAACACCTCTCCATCAGCACACGCTGCTCTCTTTTTCTTTTAAAACTTCTATACCAAGCTGTGGGATCTTGAGAAACTCAGTATATTCTGTCTTAGGAGCGTGGGTTTAGAGTTGAACAGCCCTGCAGGCAGTTCCCAGCTCTGCCGTAATACTAGCTACCTGAACTTGAATGAGTTTCTAATGCTTTGAGCTATGTTTTTCTCATCTGAAAAATGAGGATAACACCACCTGTTCTACTAGGTTCTTGTGAGACTTAAAAAATCATTAATCTGTGTAAGGAGCTTTAGCCCAGAGCTTGTCATATATTAAGTACTCATTTTTGGGGTCATTTATACATCCTGGGTCTCATGTGTGAAGAGAATGGGTCAGATGAAGTGGTCTCGGGACTCCCTTGTACTTGGATATTCTGCCTCCTCTCACCTCTTGTGACCCTAATTTTGTTTTCCATCCGTGGTCTCACCCATCCTCATCCTCTCCCACACTAGACACATCAAAGTCCCATTTCCTTCTTTCGCTTCCTCCTTTTCTCCGTCTGATCAGTTCCTGAGTCCTGAGGAGTCAACCATGAATGTCCCTGGCATCTGTCTTCTCTCCACGTGTACTGTCAGCTCCCGCCTGCACCACTGCCCAAGCCTCCTCTCATGCATTCTGGCCTTCAGAGCATCTTCTGCACAGCTGCCACAGTCATCCTGTCCCTCAACAAATCTTAGTAGGTCACACCCACATTTAAACAGCTGCCTGCTAACTGTTGGGTTTCACCTAAACTACTGAACTTGCCCCACAAGGTCCTTCTCAGCCTGGTCCTTAAGTTCACCTCTAGCATCCTCTCCAACCACCTCCCCTCTGAGGACCCGTCCTTTAGCCACACAGAATCTTCAGCAGTTCCTGCGGGCATATCAGGTCCACACATGACTTGATGCCTCTGCTCATGGTGCTGTTTTTGACAAACACCTACTGATCATTCAAAGCTCAGATCCAGTATCACCTCTGGTAAGCCTTTTGGGACTTCCCAACGGGTTAAAGGCATTTTACTCCACTCCCTCTGTTCTCACAGTTTGTCCATAGCACTGGCAAACACTAACATGACCTCCGCAGTAAGACTGTGTCCTCTGGAGTCAGACCGACTGGGTTGAGTCCCTGAATCCAGTAGTTAATACCTAGACTGGCCAAGTTATTTAGACTCTGTAAGCCTGTGTTTCCTCCTCTGTAAAAGAGAGATAATAGTAACCCACTAAATCGATTGTTGGGCGAATTCAGTGAGTTAAGCCACGAGCATGGTTAGCACGGTGCTGGCCATGTACCACGTGACTCAGTGACGTTAGCTTTGTAAGTTCTGTGATCTGAGCTGCTGCCATGTCTGTCTGCTCTCACCGCATTGTAAGCTCCTCTAGTGCAAAAAATAGACATCTCATTCCTTAGTGTTACCAGCACTTACAATAGTGCCTGGCCTAGCAGGCCAAGTCAAAATTTTCCTTTCCACTAAATATCCATAGATTTGAGATAATTTCAAAGTATAATCAAGACAATCAAAATAATGTTTTACAAGTTAGGTCTGCTTTTGTGTCTGACACTGCCAAGGACTTGGCTATGAGCTTCATGTTAATAGACAGATACCTACCACCCTCGGTGATGCTGTTTATCGCCAGAGCTTCCGCTGTCACCTGCAGGTAGACAGTGCTCAGATCTGAATCTCCATCCTTATCATTCTAAGATCCAGGCCAATATATTAGTCTAGTCACCTAGGCATCTCTTCTTAGATGTCCTGTGGGTATTCCCAAACCTAACACACTAAACGAAACCTGTTTTTCTACCACAAAATCTTTCCTACAAATGATCTCCACTGTAGGAAATGACCTCATTTGTTGCTGAGGGCAGGAATCTGGGAATGAAGCCGACTTTCCCTTGTCTTCTCCACCCGTTTCCCCATCCCGTCATGTTTTCAGCTCCTTCCTACCTCCTAGATATCATTTAAATCTACCCTCCTCTGTCCCCACTGTTATACTGTAGTCCAAGTTGTCATTCTCTCTCGTCTGTCACTACTCCTGGTCTTTCCTCAACCCACACGGCAGCCAGAACGGTCTTCCCAAAGGCGCACAAGTCACCAAGCCAACGCCCCTCACTCTCATGGGTCCCACGGCCCTCCCCGATCTGGTCCCTGCCTCTTTCCGGCCTCCCTGTGCTGCTCTCCTGGCATCTCCGTGCCTCGGCTGGCTGGGTTTCCTTAAGTTCTCTGCACTCATCATGTTCTTTGTCCACTCCACCTATTTCCTCCCCCTAGAAAGTTCTCCTCTGCCCTCTTTACCTGGCTAAGTCCTGTTCATTCTTCAGATCTCAATTCCAAAGTCCATTCTCCAAGGAGGTTTTCTTAATCTCCCAGCCCAGGCTCTACTTACTTGCTCTGTATTTTCATAGCACCGTGCACTTTCCCCCACCACTCGTCACTTCTAGCTTCTTGCTCAGTTTTGTCCTGACCGACACCAGAAGCTCCATCACTAAAGCAGGGGCTGAGTCTCTTCTGTTCATCCCAAAGCCAGGCTTTGAGTACAGGGCTTTGCATGGAGTAGGTGCTCAATTAATATTATTATATTATATTGTGTAAAGTTTTGATTGTTTGAATTTCTAAACCCATGACTCATTCATTCTTTCAAATATGTTCTAACTTACAAAATACTTGAGTACCCTGTTTTGTTACATTATGTTACTCACCTAAGTGTATCTCATTCTATACCTTAGTTCATGTCAGTTAAAAAAAAGAAGCATTCAAACCAAATTAAAATGAGATAATGCTTTCTCACTAAGCAGAGTTTTGTGGTACTAAGTATTAATGGGTAATGCAACATTTACCATGAAAGTAACAAATTTTGTTTCAAACAGTAATATTTTCATAGGAATGGCCTCTAGTATGACATCTGTCTCAAACTAGAATATTTTGGCTAAACAGCAAAAGGCTTTACATTTCAGAACAGTCTGTCCACTGACTTTATCACAATAGAAATATCAACCTATTCATTTCTGATGTAGCTGAATTGTTTTACCTTCAACTACCAAGAAAGGTAACAGGACTTTGAGGAGAGGTGAAAGAAAACAAAAAGAGATATAGAAAAGAAAGAACCATGGTTTGGGAGCAGAACCATGCCAAAAACCAGAAGAGAAAAGGGAAATATTTACAGATTGGAAGTAATTTAACAAAGAAAACAAAGAGAAAGGCAGGAAAAACCAGACTTTACCATTCGCAGCCAAGACGGTAAAAAGCCTTTATAAAGACTCATGAATCCCTCTCCTTGAACAGCTTGAATCAAGCAGTCAGTTGATGACTTATACAAAAGGCCCCTAAAAAGGAAAGAAAACAATTTGGCTAACTTTCTTGTGTATAAATAGGTGTATAAATAAATTTTTTTAAAAAGTCTTAGGAAATGTACTTAAAATTTTTCTGCTAGTTTAGAACAAGTACTTTTTGTGGTTCTAGGTATATGTGGATTACTTCTGTCAAGTTTAAAAATATTTTCAAGGTTGATTCTTCTGATTCACCCCACCCTTGGTCTTATAACTTAGACTTCACTCCGCCTGACCTAGTCCAGAGAGAATATACTGATTTCCATCAAATCAAATGACCCATGTTATACTAAGTGAAGCAAGCCAGAGAGAGAGAGAAAAATACCATATGATATCACTTATACGTGGAATCTAAAAAAAAAAAAAAGACACAACTGAACTTATTTATGAAACAGAAACAGAAACAGATTCACAGACATAGGGAACAAACTTATGGTTACCAGGGAAGAAGGGGAGGGGGAAGGATAAACTAGGAGTTAGGGATTTGCAGATTAAAAACTACTATATATAAAATAGATAAACAACAAGGTTCTACTGAACAGCCCAGGGAACTGTATTTAATATCTTGTAATAACCTGTATTGAAAAAGAATATGAAAAGGAATATACATCTATGTATAACTGAATCACTTCACTGTACACCAGAAACTAACACAACATTGTAAACTGCCCATAGTTTAATTTAAAAAAACAAAAAGCAAATTACCCATGTTACCTGTAAGTCATAAGCTTCTGAGGAAAGTGCTCTGTAAATTCTCAACAGAGTATATTTTTCAGAAACTCTTTGAAAACAACAAAGTCACAACAACACCTTGTATCTAAGCAACATGATCATTAAATTAAATTATTTCCCCAAATGCACAGTACTTTTCGGTCAAACATAAAACAGGAAATTGCATAAATACAATTTCCTGGTTGAACACACATAAACACAACATAAACACAAAAATACATTTCTATCAAGAATCAATACAGGGAAGTGTCTTTAAAGAACAGTATTATTAGAGACATTCAGATACATGGATACTGAAGACTTTCTATCTACCTTCCTTGTTTATCTCGTGGTTGATTCATTATTCGGCTTTTGATGACATCGGCGGGTGTCCCCAGAATAGAAGCTACCAGTCCAGAACATAAACTATAGATACAAATAAATGAAATTGAAAGATAATATGTAGCAGGCTCTAAATTTTAAGCAAAGGGGATTCGATATGTAGAAAGAATGGAATACTAAATCCATCACTTATAATATTCTTCATAATAACACTCTTTTAGCTTAAAAATCAATGCTAAGTTAATTCATTAAAGAGGTAGAAGAAAAAAATTAAAAGAATGTCTGGTCAGCAAACATACACTGAATGCCTGCTGGTGGCATTCAGGCACTCTTCTACGCAGTAAACAGGACAGATGAGATCCTGTCCCTCAAGGCTCTTAAATGGAGAGAGGCAGAGGAGAAATGGGTAATGTCAGATGCAGTTAAGTGCTGTGTGAAGTGGGATCGTGTAATAGGGAGTAAGCGGGTGATGGGCAGTCATGGAAGGCTCTGGGGTGATGGCAGGTCTTGACGTAGGTGCGTCTGTCTCACCAGTCAGACGAGACAAAAGCAGCAGGCAAAAAAGGCTAACTTGGGTCTGATTTTATTCTAAACCCGCAGGGAAGTCACTGAAAGAATCGTAAACGGGAAATCACATAATTTGGTTAATAATCACTCCTTCTTGAGAAGGGCTTCTTGTCAGTTACTCAAAGCAGACCAAATGGCTGGGGCCAAGCCACTGCAGAGTAAATCAAGATTGTGTGAGTGAGTGACTAAAATGTGAAGAAATTAATGAGCAGTTCGTCCATGTATGTGGGCGTGAGAGAGGCAGTACAGGAACATGATGGAAATTCCATAACCGGAAAAGCCAGGAACTGCTGGCAGCTTTTCCAGGAAAAACAGAGATGGTGCGACAAGGCGTGATGGTCCGGCGTCACAGGAAGTGGGAGGCCCAGGTCCCGGGAGCTGGCAGCCGGGTCCACAGACTGGGATCAGGGGAGCAGGAAGAACAGCTTAGGTTGGGCCAGTGGGAAGCTGGAAAGGAAAACTGTGGAAAACTTTTCTGTCCTTCTGGAACATCAAGTACCTCAGAGAGATCAGGACCACTGAATTCTGTGCCCATCAAGGCCTTTGAAGTTTCTAAATCTCCAGGGTCAGGAAGTTGACGCTGTGTTAGGAATCCTCATACTCTCTTATCGTGAACTGTGGTCACAGAAAGTACCAGACTCTTTCTGACTCCCTCGGCCAGGAGTTACCACTCAAAGGAGGAACGCACTTTCGAAATACTTGAATTTAAGAGAAGGGTCCTAGTGACCTATTTACATATTCCAGCAAATGACCCAACTGTGCATATAACTTTCCTTTGGTTTCTGTGCACGTGACAGGCATTGCTTATGTGAGAAGAGCTTCCGGTTTCACCATAGGAGCAGCCTACTGTACTTTCCTGTTTGTTCAGATTCTCCCAATATCAAAGTTTAACACCATTGATTTCAATATACCTTCATGTTTTTGCACAGAAACGTCTCCATTAACATGAAATTCATCCAAGTTCTAAAACTTAGGTCTTCCAGAAACAGCATATGAGACCAATCAAGAGGTAAGGAAGAACAAGGGAACGGGGGGAAACAGATACACAGTTCCCCCTCTTTGCTCTGAAGGTTGGAGGGAGACACTGCACTTGTTCGTTTGCCTCAGAGAGGCCGGGTGCCAGCTCAGCCTCACGTGTAAGTGCCCAGAGTGGAAACTACTCTGCCAGTGCTCATAGTGTGGATACGTTCTATTTTTAAAACGTAAGTAGCCCTCATTAATAAGTCGCCATTAATTAACTTGTTTAGGATTAAAGGATTTGTTTTTACCTGCATACTGACCACACCAAGGACCCCCACTTCAGCACGTGTGGCCCCATCTGGCACACACAGACCCTAGGAGGCAGCTGCCAGTGCCCTGCCTCATCCTCTTCTTATTAAACAGGTTTCAGGAGGTAGTGTGACCTGGCTAGACTCCTTTGAAAAGGTGAACATTAAAAGAGAGCAAATAATGTACGAAGGAGGCCTCAGGTAGGATGGTGCCTAGAGTCAAAGTGAGAAGACAGGACGATAAAAGGAACGTCAGTTTCACAGCTACTTGAAATGAACATTGTTGCTTCTGGCTACCGACCTGTATCATAGCTCCTTGCTGGGGACACCCCAGAGAGAAGCCCAGGGCGTGGCTAAAGGGGTAATGGAAAGAGAGCGATTGGGGGATGTCTTCTGTTCTCTCCAGGAGACCAGATGGCCATCTGTGAGGCCAGTCTGTGATATTCCGTCAGCACTGGTCAGGGTCAGCCATCCTTTCTAGGAGCAACTAGATAATCGTGCTCGTGTATCGTCTTCATACAGTGCAAGCTCACCCTTTGCACAGTCTCACCTCTCAATAGCTTCACGCTTTAAAAAGAGAGATAAGGGGATGGTTCTGGCTCTTCTGTTCTCGATAATGCCCAGACCATTAATTCAGTGCCCTGCCTTTCCTCCGCCTCTTGTATTAACACACCTTGCCACCTGCCTCCCCACCTCACTGAAATCCTAGCCACGGTCTCTGCTGCTCCTGCCCTGGCCCAGAACTTCGTTTTATTTACCCCACTGTTTTTAAGTGTGGTAAAGTATACAGAACATACAACTTAAACCATTTTAGCCGTATTAAACCACACAGTTCAGGGCTTACACCATTTTTATTCTTCTTCTTCATGTGAGATTCCTTTTCCCCAGATGTTGATGGCTCATATAAATCTCTCTGATTGCACAGCTGCAGGCCCCTCAGATCCCCATGAGCACTCATTCTATCCTGTGACACCGCACTGTTTATCTCTGTAGATGTGAGTTCGTGGGTAGCAGCCTTGGAGCTGCCTCACATACCCACATACTTATCCCAACCCATTTAAATACCTGATCTAGGGAGCTCAGGAATGAACCAAGTACCGATCATCCCATGTTCGCAAAACCTCAATCAGAGAACAGTGGGGTGAAGTTATTTCAGATTAGGGCTGGAAGACAGTGATGGGGAATCTTACATCTTTCCAAAAAAGACAGATCCGTTAGGTGGAGCAGCGCATGTTAAGCGGATTTACACCTGCTGAGAAATCCTTGAATCTTAGATTAGAAGTGTGGTATTTCAAAGACCGTTTGGGTAGAAAGACAATGAAAAAGAAACAGAGGTACCACTGCTGCGGCCCTGTCAGACCTGAACATCCTGCTCCCAGAACAGATCGTGACGCTGAAACAGACAAGCCTCTCGAAAGATGAGACTATCTCACAAGACGACTTGACCGGCTAGTAACTGGGGAAGAAAGTCTCACAGGCAGAGAGGACAGCATGAACAAAGGTAGTGAAGGAAAGAAGGCCAGGGTGGCACAGATGTCATACAGGTGTTTACAGGCACAGGGGTAACAGAGGCCTAAAATCCTTAGGCCTAAAATCCTCGTTTGTCTCTGTGAAAAAAGAGGCTGGACTGACTATTGGCTACAGAAAGGATGGCATAGCTTGTGAACACACCTGGGTGAGAGTTTGGAACATGAAAGAAAGGTGAGCAGACATATATAGAGAGATTGCCTTAGCAGCACCAAAGATAATACTTATTTTAAAAGAGAAAGAATGAAGAAAAACTACTCTAGGAAAATTAAGTTAAGGTGAACCTGAGATTCGGAATCATTTATATCTATATCTTTATCTGTGTATCTCCTAGTGTCATTGATTTGGCAGTATTAATATTCTTTGGGGGTTGTCTAAACAGCATAAAGGGTTCTAGAATTTGGAAACAAGATGAGCAGTGAAATAAAAATCACTATAATGTTAAGGACGTGAGATAGCTACAAAGTAACTCACTCTGAAGGATGATGGGAAGTCGTGCTGCAAAGAACTGAAGGTACTGCTCCTTTCTAGGATGAAGACATCTCTGTCCATCAGGAGCCACAGCCCTTCGAAACAATTATCTGTCTCCTCGGTAGGCCCCTCCAGGTGGTTATTTTTTCTCTCCTCCTCCCCCCGAACTCTACAGTAAGCGGCCACTTTTTTTTAGCACTTACTGTACAGTGTTCTTATACTTGTCTTATTTTCCTCCTTGGTAAACTCCCTGGGAAGGGCTGTGGTTTACCATCTGTATCCAGTGCCGGGCCTCAGACGGAGCCTTTCACATAAAAGATGCTCAGACGTATCCGCTGAATTGAGTTGGAGGATCAGTGGTCAGAATCCGACCCTGGGGTGGCCCCACCAAGGTGCAGACATTCTGGGAAGTTTAATCTGAAACCTTCTGCAACTTTGTCCCTCTCTTCCCCCATTGCAACTGCCACAAACTTTTATAAATGTACTATCACCTTTTTCTAAGGGCGATTCCACTAGGTTCCCAATCAAAAGAGACAAGAAGTTAGAATTTATGTCAAACATGGAAGAAAAGGTGAGATGGGAAAAAACCAGAGAGAGAGAGAGATTAAAACAGTCTTACCTTGATAAGCCATGAGTCATGATGTTATCCTCAAGTGGCGTATTCAATACCAAGTAGTGTTTCACTGTATCGTAAGTGGTTAAATCTGGCAATAGATAGAAGAAGAAAGCTTAAATATCATTCATTCAACCATGAATGTCTTTTGTGTCAAGAATATGCTAAGTTTGAGGCAGGAATGTGGACAGGGAAGAAAGATCCTATTCTTGTTCTCAAGCAGAAAAGCAGAGCTCCCGATGGAGGGGGAGGGAATAAGGAAGAGGGACAGACACTCGGTTGTAGCCTCTGAACATCTGAATCCAGCAATGCTGAAAGTCAGCCTAAACCCTGCACTTTTCAGTGTTTGAGCTGATGAATTCCTTTTTTTAGCCTCAGTTAGGCTGAGTTGAGATTCTGTCACTTTTAAACAAAAGATCCTGGCCATTATTCTACATTAAGCTTTTTATAGACTTTTTTTTTTCTAATGACAATGAAGTGCTGTCAAGTTTTAAACAGGGGAGAGATACACCATAGCCCTGGAGCTTTATAAAGGCTATCAACACTGAAGTATAGGGAAGTGAACTGTAAAGAGAAAAGAATGGGCAGATACGTTTGCTCATTCACCAAATATCTGAGTGCCTACCATGTGGTGGGTGTTATTCCAGGCGCTGGGGAAAGAGCCTCGGACAAAGTGAACAAAACCCCCATTCTTTATTGAAGGATGAAACAATAAATAAGTAAACCACATGGCGTTTCAGATGGTAGCAGCTGCCCTGAAGACAAATAAAGCAGGGAAAGGGGACAGCGAGTGTGCGAGGGTGGGGAGCAACGGTGCATGTGAACTTTAAGTAGGGTGATCTGGGAAGACCTTGCGGTAACATTTGGGCAGAGACCTGAAGGAAACTTGAGAGAGTGAACTTTGTAGGTGTCCAAGAGAAAGTGTCCCAGGCAGGACCACAGGATGTGTCACAGCCCCGAGGCAAAAGTCAGCTCTGTGTGTTCGAGGAACTGCAGGAATACTGGTTTGTCAGGAGCAGAGGGAGCAAGAGCCAGAGAAGGGGCGGGTTTTGAGCAGAGTGACCAGGGTTACTGTTTATGTCTCCCAGGTTACAGGGAGACAAGGCAGGTGAGACATGAGACCATGGCAGTCATTCTGGTGAGAAATGATGGTGGCTTGGATAAGGGAGTTGTGGAGCGCTGGTCAGATTCTGGGTGTTTTAAGAAGAAATCAACAGGATCAGCCAGCAGACTGAACATGGAGTGAAAGAAAGGAGGCAAAGATGACGGCAAGACTTTGCACTTGAACAGTTTGAAGAACAAAGCTGCTAATTATGGAGATGTAAAAATGAGCATTGGCTAATTTAGATTTTTTTTTAAATAAGATAACAGACACTGATGATCTTGGTAAGAGCAACTTCAGACGCACAGTGGGACAAAATGGCTGTGGGACAGATGTGGGGAGACCATTTAGGAGGCTTTCGTAGTGGTCCAGCAGGAGGAGCTGACACATGGACAAAGGAGTGGCTCCAGCGATGAAGAGAAGTGGGTGAAATTTGAGGAGTATCTGGGAGATAGAACTGGCTGGATCTGGTGACTTGTTGGCCATAAGGAGTAAGTGAAAGCAAAAAGATAAAAATCATGCCTAGGTTTCTGAGTCGTTCAACTAAAAGATGGTGAGGTCATATTTTTGAGACTGGGAAGAACAGAGAAGGAAGTGATTTAATGAAATGAGTTCAGTCTGGATACATTCAAAGTGATATAACCAAATAAGATAACCAAATGAAAATGCTGATTAGGTAGCTGGAACTTAGAAGAGAAATCTGGGCTGCAGCAGATTTCAAAGCAATGAATTGAGAAACCATAATCAGAAAGGTTTTTTGACGCCCAAAATATCCACCAATACGATGCAGTAGACACTGATGGACTGAAAAAGCAACGTATAAAATAGATTTACTTCCTTTGATGTTTAAGTGATATGTTACTATAATTCTCAAAAATGCTATTTATCAATTTCTTAGAATCACATAATTTTGGTCTTAGGATTCTTTCATTCATTGATTCATTCATGAAATGTTTATTGATCACATATGAGGGACCAGGAAAATAAAGATAAATAAAACACAGCCCTTGCCTTTAGGGGGCTCAAAGTCTAGAGGAGGAGACAGCTGTGTAGTGGAAGGCAATGAAAGGAGGTGAAAGCTACTACAGATAAGCCCAGGGAGCTACAGAAACACATAAAGGGGCGTCTAACACAGCACGACTGGAGAGGGGTGGTTGTCAGAGGTTCAGGGAAAATACAGGAGTGGAAAAGACACCTTAGCTATGTATTAAAATATCTGCAGGGGAAAGCTTGATAGCAGAAGAGGGAAGAGGACAGCGAGAATGGAGGTGAAGAAGAGTTTGGTGTGTGGGCAGTGGCACCTTTCAGCTCATGACTCTGCTTCCATCTCTGCTCCAGAATCAATGAGTTGCTCAACGCCAGAAGGCACAGGTTGGATCATTCAGACCTCCTGTGTTCTGTTATGAAATTCTCACTTTATTCTTTGAGTGATGAGAAGCCAGTGAAGGGTTTTAAGGATATCATTAATGTTCAGATCTGTATTTTGGATAAAGCGCTCTGGATACTGGGTACCAATTTGAGGACAGAGGAGAAGACCAGTTCGATGGCTGTGGCAGTGGTCTAGTTGTGTTTTGACGCTTACTGTTGTAAAAATGGTCATTTTAAGGATACTAAAGTAGTAGGTATTGGAGGTGGGGAAACTTTCTTTTTTAATTGAAATATAGTTGATATATAATGTTTGTCAGTTTCGGGTGTATTAAATAGTGATTGATATTTGCATACATTATGAAATGGTCACCATGATAAGTCTAGTAATCTATCCCCATGCAAAGTTATAATATTACTGTAATAATTCCTTATGCTGTATATTACATCCTTGTGGCTTATTTATTTTATAACTGGAGGTTTGAATCTCTTAATCCTCTTCACCTATCTTGGCCGCCTCCCCACTGGCAACCGCCTGTTTGTTCTCTATCAGAGTCTGTTTTCATTTTGTTTTGTTTGTTTTGCTTTTTAGATTCCACATTAAGTGAGATCATATGATACCTGTCTTTCTCTGTCTGACTTATTTCACTTTGCATAACACTGGAAGGGGGAAGGAACTTTTAAGAAACATGCAGGAGACAGAAGAAACTGAATACAGGAAGTGCGTGAAGGGGGTGAGTTAAGGAAACACTCAGGTCCCCAGCCTGCAGCGCCCTGCTGTACAAGGTGGATTATGTGGTAACAGGAGCAGGGTTACTGGGGGGAAAGATCTGCAGTCTGGATATACGACCACCACATGGTTACATACACCAGTGTGAATCTTAGAGGAAGGTATAGGGTGGAGAGGAGACCTTAGACATGGTTTGGTCTTCTTTCATTATTGTCACCATTTGCTAGTTTTAGGAAATCCTTTGCATGCATCATTGTAGAATAAAGTGACAATGCTCTGGGGAAAATACTCAATTATGAGATTACAGTATACAAGAAGACTGTTTCCAATATGAATTATTAAAAATACTAAAATAAAAATGTTCATTTTCCCTGATGTAAGTGCTTACAATCATACTGATCACGGCAGTTAGGACTTCTCAGAATTCAATAAAGTTTCCATTACCTCCCATATTCACCAGTGCGGCTCTTTGTATATTGGGTACCCAGCCTGCCCAAAGCCCACGTATTCCTCCTTCAGCGAAGATTTTTGCAAACGCATGATGCACACCACGAAACCTAAAGGAAAACAATCATAATAATAAACATGAAAACTACGCATTCCTGTGGATGGAATGCAACTGGGTAAGCTTCACCTATAGCTGTTATGATCTGGAGTAAAATAACGTCTTAATTATCCAGAATTCTTGGAAATTAAAACTGAATACTTTGGCTTTATGAAAATGTATTATCTCTTCCTTATTTTGCACATTTTTCTGTACACAGATGAAAAATGGTGCTGAACCATGAACCAAATCTGGAAACCTCTGATAGAAAATAAAATAAATATAGTCAGAAATGCCTGGTGTCAAAGGCCACCTTACCAGTTAGCTAGCTGTGTGGCTTTTACTCAGGCACTAAACTCTGAGTCTCACCAAAAAGATAATATGACATATTTATTGGGCATTGATAATTGCTATCATGCCACATAAGAAATATGCTCACAAATGACGGTCATTGTAGTTAAAATTTATTCTGCACTTATTAAGCACCAGACTTTTTATATCTATAAGATGCATTTTATTCCTGAATACTCCACAAAGTGTGTATTATTATTCCAATTTATATTTGAAGAAACTGAGGCTTAGGAAGGTTAAGGAACTTGACTAGGGTTACAGAGCTGCAATGTGGTAAGGGCTGGATTTGACTCCCAGGCTATCTGATCCAATGTTCATGTTCTTTACACCAACCTTAAATATTTTTTTAACTACTATATCAAACCAAAAATTTCCGACGGTAGAGACAAAGAAGGAAAAATTCTGAGGTGATCAGTTAAAACTCAGATATTTCTGGACCCCAATAGTTAGTTCTTTCCATGTATCCAGCCAAGGCATCACTTCACCCCACTAGGTAGTAATTAGAAGTTGGTACAAGATGGCAGCATGGGCTCTGGGATTCTGTAAACTACTTGGCTAAGTCAGAATGGTACCCTTTCCTCCTCTATGGTACATATTACTTATCTCCCTGTTTGGAAGGGGAGCCTGGACTGCCGCAGCCCAACCTCCTTTTCCACGGAGTCAGCTAGAGGGGCAGCAGAGCCCAGGGCAGTCCCATACCCTCCTGCACCTGTGTTTCAGCCGCACGTGTGCAGTGTTCAGAGAAGCAGACCTCACTGTCCTCAGCTCAGGGTGTCCTGCACTTTCCCTCTTTCCTGGGAAAGGTCGGTCAGTCTGTCTGTCTGTCTGCCTATCTGTCTCTCTCTCTATCTGCAACATCTGCCCTTATCCCAGGGGAAACTGGCTAAGTGGTGTTTTAATAAACTGTTGAACAGGAGGTCCTTTGAAGAAAGGCAGACTTTGACAATACAGAGTAATGCAATCAGAGGGTTTTATATCACAACACTATTGAAAAAAAAAAGTCCTTAAAGTTGGGAAAAGAGGAGGAGCAGAATTACATAGGGAAGTAGGAACAATCCGCAAGGTCAACCTTGCCGTTTCCCTTCTTTTGGGGAGAGAGGGGAGGAAAGCAAGCTTTCTGGCGCCTGATGAGCCAGGCACTCTGTCACGAAAACCACCTGAGATCGCCCCTTTTAAAGATGAAGACACACAGACTGCAAGTGTTAAGTGACTTCCACAACGCCAAGCCACAGTGGCACACCTGGAATTCACACCAGGGCAAATGCTAATATCAGAGGCTTTGTCTGGTCAGCTGCAGTAGAGGACAGGCCTAGCTACTGGCTGGGAGAGCAGCAGAGAGTTAGGCACAGGTAGTTGGTCGGGTAGAGAGCACCACATACACCTCATCAGGCAAAGAAAAGGTCCATCTTAGCTCTCCTCTTAGCGAGCATCACTTCCAAATGCAGAGAGTCAGGGTTAACGTCCTCACTGAACGCTGGGGGACAAAAATGGGTAAGTCATGAGGGAAATGTTCAAAGCATGACGGTGGCAAGAGGGCACGGAAAGGTACCCGCTAGTCGGAGAACTTACCGCAGTGGTTTTCCTTCAAGTTTCCTCTTTCCTTCCATCTGCATCTGAACCTTCACTAGGTCAGTTGGGTTGGCTAAAAATTGGCCAACAACACCAGCCATCATCCCTCCGATCACTGATTTCCTAGTTAGAAAAGGAGATACATTTGTTTAAAAGGTTGCTGTCAGTTTCACACATTTTGTAGGGAAAAGTACCACGCTGTACAGCCTCTACATGAGAGACTGAAGACAAAGTGAAGCAAAGGAGAGATCCAGATAAACAACAAAGGAAAACAGATCGTTTGTCTGTTTACTGAGGGCGGGGGTCAAGGACCACAAGGAGTCAGAATTCACATCTGACCTTCAGGGGCCTTCCATGGCCTGAAATGCAAAGAAAGGACAGTTGCTTCAAAGATATAATTTAATTGCCATTTAATTCTGACCATAGGGGAATAGAAACAGCACTGATGTGATCAGTCTAACAGACAAAGGCTGGCAAGTCCAATTTTATAGAGGCCTGTTTGAGTAGCTTTCCAAAGTGAAGGGGTTTTGAGAATGGTCCTCTCTTTGAAGAAACTCTTTCTGCCCTGGGGCTCTTCCTCCTCCTCGCCTCGCGGAGCCAACAGTGACCAAGTCTGAACAAGTGTGCTTGAACATGTGAAGCCTTCCTCCTCCCCCCACTCCAGTTCCTCTCCGCTCCCGCCAGGCCCCGGTCATCTTCTGCCTTGATTACGGCAGCGGTCTCTTGTGGGGGAAGGGGTAGTTTCTCTCCTTCTACTCTAAAACAATGTTTTAAGAGACACAAAGGGCTACAGGGTAGAAAAGGGCCCCTCTCCCCAGCTCCTCCCTTCTGAAGTCATCACAACGACTAGCTTCTCTTTTACCTTTCTAGAGGCAGTAATGATGCATCCACCGAATGCTTATTACGTCTGGCACTGTTTTAAGCATTTTGAAAACTATCATTTAATTCTCTTATCAACCCTGTGACATTAGCACTACTGTGATTTCCTCTTTAAAGATAAGGGAACTGAGGCACAAAGCAGCTAAATGACAGCTAGTATAGACAGTGAGTCTATACTATACTATACTGGGAGCCCCCAGCAGCCTGAGCGCAGAGCCCACTGTCTTAAACACTAAGTTACAAGTGATGGTTAGTGCACACGGGAACATACATGCATAAATCATCTTTTTTTTTAAAACTAAAATACAGCATGCCAGGTTGTATACTGTTCTGCACTTTGATTTTTTTCCCCCTAATAGTATGTCTTAAAGGTTATCCCTGTGGGTTCATATAGAGCTGCCTCATTTGAAAAATAGTTCCATAGCATCCCATTTTGTGATTTCTCTATAATTTATATAATGAGCTAGCTTTTCACTAAGACATTTGAACGTTTACATGGCATTTGATAGATCCTGCCAAATTCATTTCCACAGCACTTGTACCAGCTCACACCCCCACCAGTAACCTGTGAGCGTGACTGTTCCTCCCCATTGCTTTTTCCTGTTGGGAATCTCATAACCACTCCCTCCTGTGACTGTTACATAATTCTAATTGTTTGGGCATCTGTCTCTCTTATCCTGAGCCCAGTGACAGCAGGGACCGTGTCTTTTTCATCACCATAGCCTCACCGCGAAGTACAGGACTGGCATGGCGTAAACAATAAATATCTCGTGACTGAATGAATTGTTCTGACAGGGTCAAAGGACAGGGAGCCAGCCCACCCTGAGACGTGACTTCACAGTGACATATTTCCTTCTGGCTCCTCACCTATACCTTTCTCTTCTGGAGGAATTACAAAATACAAAGACTACTCATCTATTACTCCTTTCCAACTCTGGGAGAGCAATTATATAATGTATAGCTTAGTACATTACAATTTTTCAAAAATAGGTAATAGATTTTGCCTGGAAGGCGAAATTCTACTTACTGCCCTTTTCTTATAGTCGAGACTTGGATTTGTTTTTTAAGCCCAGAAAAGATACTGTATCTTTGTATGTTAGTCATATAAAACCTACCCCATTCTTTCAATAGCTGTGTTATGTTTCCTTGTATAGATATGTCATAACTTATTTGACAGCTTCCAAATTGATAGTTACTTAAGGTTAAAATGTTTGCTATTATCAACACTGCTACAGTCAATATCTGTGTGTGTGTGTGTGTGTGTGTGTGTCTTTATGCAGATACAAATATTTCTGACTGATTATAATCATAAAGAAGGTGTTGCTAGGTCAAAGGATTACACATTTTAAAAATTTAACATGTATTTTATGCTCCAAAAAGTTTATAATAACTTATATTCCCATTAGCGGTTTAGCGGCTAAAAGTAGTTTTAGCTTATTTCCCTGATGATTGGTGAGGTTGAACGTGTTTACATGTGTAATGAACATTTATATTTCTTCTTTTGTGAACTGCTTGTTGATATGCTTTCTCTTCTTTTGTGTTCTTTTATTGACCTATGGAAGTTCTGTATATTTTATTTAAAAATAACCTATTTTTGTTTCTTTTATAAATGTTATAAGTGATATGCACTTCCATGTATCATCTCATCTAATCCTATAAAAAAACAAAGCCTGGTGGGAGGTGTCACTTCCACAGCGGAGAAAACCGAAGATAAAAAGGTGAAGCAGTTTGTCCAGGCAACACAGTCGTAGATGAGGAATTTGAGCCCATCTTTGACTCTAAACTCTAGGGTTTCTGAGTAGAAAGAGGAATAAAGAAGGTGCTCTATAAGAATCCTTTAAATTTTAACATATTAAGTGACATAATTTTTATACGTTTGTACACAGTGTGCGGTAAATGCTCAGTTATTTGGATTTCTATTGTAATTGTCATTTTAGGCCTGTCACATGAAGCAGTTTTGGTACAAAGGCACAATTTTATACAAATCTAGTGGGTAAACAGTAAAGATTTTGGGGCAAGGGTACATTCCTTTCTCTTTTTTAATTGAAGTATAGTTGGTATACAATATTAAATAAGTTACCAGTGATTACAAGTTACAATATACTGGTCACAATTTTTAAAGGTTATGCTCCACTTATAGTTACTATGAAATATTGGTTGTGTTCCCCATGTTGTACGATACAGTACGTTATTTTCAGAACAAAACTTACCAAAGGGGATAATGCTTATCTTCACCTTTGCCAAACACAACCTCACGGAGATGTTCGTAAGTGACCATTCGCCCTCCAGAGTACACTGTGCAAAACAGATCATTGAAAGGGTGAGCTCAGCCTTATGTTTAATACACTAAGAGGACGTTTTGACTTGGCCTAGTTGATCTCCCTGGCTGTGTCTTTCTCTCATGAACCCTGTACTTTTCTTTTTTTTTAAATTGAAGTTTAGTTGATTTACAATGTTGTGTTAGTTTCTGGTGTACAGCACAGAGATTCAGTTATACACATATATATTCTTTTTCATTATAGGTTATTACAAGACACTGAATGTAGTTCCCTGTGCTGTATATTAGGACCTTGTTGTTTATTTTATATATAGTAGTTTGTATCTGCTAATTCCAAACTCCTTATTTATCCCTAAGTAACCATAAGTAATGATAAGTTTGTTTTCTATGTCTGTGAGTCTCTTTCTGTTTCATAAATAAGTTCATTTGTATCATTTCTTATTTTAGATTCCACATATATGCAATATCATATGATATTTGTCTTTATCTTTCTGACTTACTTCATTTAGTATGATGATCTCTAGGTCTACTCATATTGCTGCAATTGGCATTATTTCATTCTTTTTTTATAGCTGAGCAGTATTCCATTACACACACACACAAACACACATACACATACTGCATCTTTTTTACCGAAGCATCTGTCGATGGACATTTAGGTTTCTTCAGTGTCTTTACCCTATTCTTCTGACACATGGTCTCTTGCTGTTTCTCCAAATGTGCATGCCTTTTAAAGCCTCAGGCCTTCTCAGATGCTGTCTGATCTTTCTTGAATGGATTCTCCCTTCTCTGCTTTGCTAACCCCTCCAACTCTTTCAAGATTCAACTCGAATAACATGTTTTCCAGAAAGGGCCCACGGACCTTGCCCCCAGGGTTCTGGGCTGCCGTTGCCTCTGCTGTGCTCCTCCGTCCCCCTGAACTACCCAGGCGTACGTCCAATACAGCGTTTATCACGTTGATTAGAGATTCACTTGATTTTCTTGCTCATCTTTGCATCAGAGCGCGAGCTTTACCAGGCAGGCTTTGTGTATTTTCCTGTACTCTATATGCCTTAGTACAGAGCTTGGTACACAGAAGGCATTTTCATTCAATATTATATGAAGGTAATTTTTCAGTCAAGTGTCAAACAATATGAAATGAATCTTAACTATAAAACCACAAAATACAAATGAAGAAGAAGTGAAGCTCAAAAGGATAATGGGAAGCAAGGAGAAAGTATTTCTTAAAGAGGAAAAATCATTAAAACCAGTACATGGTATTCATATGGAGAGCTTTTCTTGATATTTCAGGAAGTTTAATGCAGTATTTTAAGATACTCCGAAACAGACGAAGTACCAGAACAGTAACAGTCTAATCACACTTCTGGATAGTCCTTGATGAATACACTCTAACGTGCTCATTTGGAAAATTGAGGCTTTAAAAAATACAAAACTGGTAAATAACTGTGCCAGCACTTTTCTGATCAAGGGTCCCTACGTACTTGAGGGTCCATTATGAACAGAGAAGAGAAAGATGTCACACCCGTCCTCCCTCCTTTGGAAGCCAAGTTTATGTTCCCCTGTCCACAAGCTGAAAACCGAACAAGTCCTGCCTCGGTAATGCCCCTTTGGAAGCAGGGCACAAAAGCGTTCTCACCGCTAAGAATGTAGTCTCAGCTATTTTCCTCTCAGAGTGACTCATGGCCCACACAAGCAGCCTGGGGAACTGAGGCCCAAGTCCCCAGGGTTGTATTTGTCCTGTTGCCAGCGTGGGATTAGACGGTCCTCCCTGTCCTCTTTCCGATCAGCTTGGTCTCTGACGTAGGGGACAGAGACTGGTGAGATCTGGCCTTGCATGCCAATGTATTTTAATTTTCAAAGAATGTCACAAAAAATTTAAATGTGGTTTCTCAAGTGGAAAAAAATCAATTATTCATTTTTTTCTTAAGTGTAAAAAAAAACTTTTTCTTAGGAAAAATTTTCAAACATACAAATAATACAGTTCCCACTATATCTAGCATGGAGATTTATCACTTGCTAACATTTTCACCATATTTGCTTCATTTTTTTTTGCTTAATTATTTTAAAGTGTATTACAGACATCATGACATCATGACAGTTCATCCCCAAGAACTTCTGTATGCATTTCTAAAACCCTAAGGCAATAATTGGTAGTTAAGAGACTGTATATTCATTCATGACCTTACTAGAAGACAGCTAGCTGGCTTTTGGACACAGCTCAACAGAAAAGCAAAGGAGACAAGCACAGAACTCTGAGCAAGCTTACCGGCTAGAATCAAGATAAATACCTATGTGTCTGTAAATGGCGGGGGTCACTCCTTGCCAGAGCTTTAGGAAGCCTTCCTCTTGGACGATCCCGAGCGCCGTGCGTACCATGCCCCTGTAAGGAGCAGCCTCTCCCGCGCCACCTCCCAGCCGAGCAAGGGCAGCTTCTCCTTGTATCTGGAGTCGAGTTTTTGTGAGATCGAGGGGAAAGGTTGCTAACAACAAAAACAAAACAAAACAAGAGGGAAACCCGTAACATTTAGAGAAACAAACACAAATTCTGAAAATCGCAGGACCCATATTTTAGTCGCCACAAGATGAGTGTTCTCAAATTTTGGAACACATCAAAATCAGAGGAGGAGATGGTTAAAATTACAGATTTCCTAGCCCCACATCTGTGGAGTCTTAGTAGGTGGATGGGGGTTTAGAAGCCAACTGATTCTTATGCACTCCCAAAGTCAAGAATCACTGTCCCAGAGCAGCCCCAGGGCACCAGAAAGCGGGGGTGGGGGTGGGGGTGGGGTGACAAGTCTTGGGTTCTTTTCAGTGAGAAATTTCAGTCTAAAATCTGCTTTTGTCCTCAAGTTTTGCTTTCCAATGGGAATCATTTCAGGTATCCATAGTCTGTGATGTCCCCTTGACTGCAACCATAATTAAGATCCAGTGTGACTTTTAGAATACTGTGCAGGTTCTTAATAAATGCCAGATGAAGCTGAATCTGTCATTTCATGAGTGATGTTCACATGTGGATGAATCACTGACCTGATGTTTGAGATACACAAGATGAAATATAGAGTTTATAATGTCTTTTATATGCAAGGGTGGCAAGCTCAAAATTCTTTCAGTTAAGGCATATATTGAGTTGTTCTTCCAGCGCCGATGAGTTTTATGCATGGCCACCTTACAGAGTACCAAATGTACTTGAAAAACTTTTCCCTAATGATTACATCTTAGAGATAGACCTTTTCCTTAAAACAGAGTGAAGCTAACTGCTCCTTCCTTCATAAGGAAGATCAAGCTCATAACTATATATACACGATGATTCAGATAAGTTCATGAACATTATTGACATTATATGTCTTGTCAGTGACCACCACCTGATACAAAACCGTAACAATGCCTTTCTGTAAAGAACACAGAGTCAGGGGAAGAGCTTATTAAATCTTATCACTGGTCTTTGGAAAAGTTGGTATCTTGCTGATAGTTTTCCTGCAACAGAAGTGGTGTGCGTATAGAGAATTTAAGCAATGCTTTATTGACATGTGAAACCTTAAGAGTCTTAAGATAGAGGCACCTCTATATTAGCATAGGTTATGCCTCTCAAAATCATTTTGGTTTTCTTGCTGGTTAATTAAATAATGCTTTAGGTTCTGATCCTAAATTGTTTTTACACAAAACATGTCATATTTCGATTCCCTGGCCTCCCATCCCCAGCCTCCACACAATTCTTAACAGGAGGAATGTTCCTTTACAAAAGCCATTGGTCATAGGGGCAAACATCAGGTTAAAAAAAACAAACCTGGAAATATATCTAATCATTCATCAGTCTGCTTTTAGAGTTAAAAGTTGATGAACTGTATTTCAGTAAAAACAATAATAAAAATTCTATATCAGCTTTGGGAGAAGAGATGAAAAGAGAGAGCCCAAAGAGCCAGAGTGGAGGCGCACAAAGGGCAAAACAACAGATCATGTGCTGGCTCTGCTGGAAATACGAAGTTAACTCATGTTAGAACAGGACAAACTTAACATTTACAAATGATTTAACACATCAGAGCTACTGCTTTTTTTTTCTTTTAATGGGCAAGAAAATGAAAGAGTAATCTTAAAATGCACAATGAAGAACACAGGGATGCGACTCACAAAATCCTTGGACTAAATACCTCCTGTTTGTGCAAGGGCATCATAATTCTGCTCTAAAACTTAAGGTAGCCCTTTAAGTTTTCCTTGACTTGCTTATGCAGATGTAACTGTCTTCTATGCTCTTATGATACTTAATAACACCTTATAATAAGGAGTATAATGTAATTGTTTCTGCATGTCTCCCCACCAGCCTGTTAGCTCAAGGCTGGGTCGTTTTAAGGATACCTCCATAGTCCTCAGCATTGTAATTGTAAGTCTCAATTAACGGTGCCCTGCGTTTAGATTTAGCGTTTATATATTACTAACTTCTCAGACTCCTGCAAGGTAAACACAGTACAGATGAGTTAAGCTCAAAGAGGTCAACTGGCAGATATTGAGAGGATGCTGCGTAAGTGATAGGTTAAGAGCTTAAGTCCCACAAGTTGGGTGTTAAGAATATAAACAACAGACATGATCTCAAGAAGGATGAAGAGTGGACTGTGGTATTAGAAAGGTCATCCTCACGAAAGGGAAAATGATTCCTCTAGAAAGAAATGACAGCTCATGAAGCTTCTAAAAGGACACAGTGAGGCGTAATAGCACACAGGAGGGGGACGACATTGGAAGAGCCCTTCGTGACCTCCAATCTCTCCTCCTCACAAGGCTGGCCTTGCCACCTACCCCGCCACACCTGCCCGCGGGACAGGTGTGGACCGAGAGGGCTGCATCCACCTGGAAACCAAGCCACCCGCCGGGTGCCCCACCCCCGCGCGGCCCCTCGACGACTCGCGGGGGAGGCCCAGGCTGGGCGGCCGCGTACCTAGCTCGGCCACGGTGGCCGCACAGCCCGACAGGAGGAACTTGCTCGCGCGGGGCCATCTCTGGGTGAGCGGCAGGAGCCTCTCCTCATCCTCTGGAGCCGACATTCAGCAGCAGCGCGGGGCGGCAATACGCCCCTTCCGGCCCGCGCCCCCACGCCGCGGCTGGCCTGCCACCCAGCCAGGGCGGCCCCTCCTCAGCCGGCGAGCGGCGAGGCGGGGACCATTACCCTCGCTCGGCCAGGCGGGCCCGGCGAACCCGCAGCCTCCCTAGCAGCCCCAGGCTTGAGCAGTCCAGCGAGCAGCGAGCGGAAAACGACGCGAAGCTCGCGAGGCTGCTGGGAAGCGTTATCCGCGCGGCTCCGCCCCCCACGGATCGAGTTCTCTGATTGGCCGAGAGGGCTGCTCCGCCCGCCCCGGTCTCCGGGGCAACGGCGCTGTTCTCCACCCCCTGCACCCGCGCCAGCTGGGCCCAGGCTTGAAAAAGAAGTGGAAGTGGGAGGGAGCGATGATGCAAAAGTTAGTTAAAAATTGGGGTGGGGAAAGGAGGCTACAGATACGAAGAGGAGCAAGCTGTATAAGTTGCCAGAGCGGAAAGGCTGGAAAGTCCGGTGGGGCCCCTGTTCCGGGACGAAGAAACAAGTACCACGACAGCAGGAGTTTCCCCCTCTCTGATTCAGGAAGGTGCTGGACAGAAACATGGAATTCATTTCCGCAACAGTGATTATAATCCTAGGTTGTGTCGCTCGTTTATTATTCCTTCGGCGGAGGAACTTGCGTGGACCCCCATGCATAGGAGGCTGGATTCCTTGGATTGGAGCTGGATTTGAGTTTGGGAAAGCCCCTCTAGAATTTATAGAGAAAGCAAGAATAAAGGTATGTGGCCCTAACAGATCGCGTTTGCAGAAAAGATGTTTTCTTTTTTATTTTCTTTCATTGGATCCCAAGTGCAATGTTAGAACCTGGGGAACCTACCTGCTGCCCACAATTAAATGATCTAGCCGTTTATGAATTGCTCAACTAACAATCAACAACTATGTCTTATGCAAGAGTTTTCGACAGGAATAGATTTTTATCAGGAATTACAATGCAGCTTGTAGTTACCTTTTTGGAAGCAGAGTACTAGTTCATCACAGTTTAAAAATCCTAAGTGTATACGTATTAACTAAATGCTTGCAATGATTGGGAAGACAGAGGTGTAATACAATTAATTTCAATTTATGGAAACGCTTAATAAATTAGTATACAAATCAGAGTTAACACCAGGCCATTGTAAAAATTGCTTGCAAACTTAGTCTTTACAAATATAGTGGGAACTGTATTTTCAGCTGGTGTTATTATTTGATGGTGATGTGATCCATTTTCACTGCACACCAAGGGTATTAGTAACTGTTGTTGCAATACATGTTTTTGTCTTTAAGATAGCTTTTAAATATGTTTCTTTCCAAAATAGTATGTAGGTTACTGCTAACATTTTTCTTTGTTTCAACCAGTACTTCAATGAGCATTCTTGTGTGAGTGTTCCTGTGTGTGTTTGTATTGTGTAGTTGTACTTTTTGCACTTACCTGATTGTTTCATCAGAATAATTTCCTGATAGTTAAATCTTCCAAAGGACATTAAATTGTTTATTGTGTTACCCTTGCAAAAGGATGTAACAATCCTTTTTCTTTTACCTTTTCTTTTCCTTTAAGTATAGAGGATTACCTAGCACCTCACATCTTGGCCCACACTAGGTATCATAATTCTTGTGTTTGATAGATGAAAAATATTATCTTTTAAAGAAATACTTCTTTGTCTGCCATAGCCTTCCTTAGGCATACAATTTTGATAAATTTTAAGGAATGTTTTTAAAAGCTTGTCTTAGAAGGTCAAGCAAGGTCACAAAGATTATTCTGTTTTCTTCTAAAAGGTTTATAGTTTTGCATTTTACATTTAGATCTATGATCCACTTAGAGATAATTTTTTGTGTGGTGTACATAAAGGGTGAGATTGACTTTTTTCTCCATCTGGATGTCTAATTGTTCCAGTAGCATTTCTTGAAGAACTTTCCTTTCTTCATTGAATTGCCTTTGCAGCTTTTCAAAAAACAGCTGACTATACATGTGTAGGTCTATGTCTAGCCTTCTTATCCTATTCCTTTGATTTTGAAACTTACTCCTTTGTTAGCACTACATTGTATTAAATGGTGTATAGTTTTATATAAGTCTTTAAATAAGGTAGTGAAAGGTCTTTTTTTGTAATTTATGTGGCATTCAAGATTATTTGCATTTTAATATACATTTTAGAATTGGCTTATCAATATCTATAATAAAGATTGTTAGAATTATGATTGGAAGTTTGTTAAATCTATAGAAAAATTGAGGGAGAATTATCTTTTTAGTGATATTAAGTCTTCTTGTCTATGAATGCTATATATTTCTCCCATTTATTTAGCTATATAATTTCTTTCAGAAATATTCTGTAGTTTGTTTTGATGGGGTCTTGCCTTGTGATTAATTATTTTCTGAAGTATTTTATACTTTTGAGGTTATTGTAGATAAAATTGTTTTCACTTTTGTTTTCTAGTGGTATCCCTGGCACATAAAAAAAAGTACATTTATTCTTTGTATATTAACTTTGTATCCTGTGACCGTGCTAAATTCATTAGTTCCAGCAGTTATTTTGTAGATTTCTTAGGATTTGTATACATGTGTAACATACTCTAAAAAACAGATAAATTTATTTCCTGTTTTCTGATCTTTATGCCTTTTATTTCTTTTTCTTGTATAAATACAATCAGTAGGATTTCTAATATATCATTAAACAAAAGTGATAAGGGTAGACAAGTTTGTCTTTTTCCTAACATTAGGGGAAAAGCGTTCAGTATTTCACAATTAAATTTGTTGTTACCAGTAGATTTTTTGAAGATGCTTAATTTCAGTCCTCATCTTTGATCCATGCTCAGAATTCACAGATGTCACAGGGAAATAAAAAGTGATCTATTATCTGTTTACTTCTACACAATTCTTTCCTCTGTGAAGTTTTAATCCATTTAGTTATTGTTTCCCCAGCTCTCTGATGCCTTTGAAAATATGATCTTTATAATCTATCCCTCTTTTCCTGGTTGCCAGTGAGATCCTTGGCTTTGGTCTTACGTATTCTATGGTAAAGTATTTTTGGTGGGTTTCTTCATCTATAAGGAAGTTCTTCCCCCCATTTTTTTTTGAATTTTTCCTATAATGCGAAATTTTCTCTTTTTGTTTAACCATACTGAAAGGAGTTGGGTTGCCTTGGACCAGCTGTCAGCAGGAAGATTTGGTTGGAGGCAGTTGCTTTGCAGGTTTCTATAGGTTTTCTGTCCTCTCTGGCTACAGTGAAAATGTCATGCCTCCGCACTTCCATGCCTCCTCTGCTTCCGGGATCTAATCTTCCAGTCTGGAGCTGTCGCCGCTGCTCTTCTACAGCTGCTGCTACTAAGGGATGAAGCCCTTGTCTTCCCAGGTGTTCTCACTTTTAGATAATCGTGCTTTCTGAAACCCTCTGAACACTGTCTGCATCATCTTTTACCGCCTCCCTCAATTTCCCCTGGCCTGTTCATTTCAGCCCATCTCACAGTGATTCTGACTCTGTGTATTGCCTTCTCCTATCTCCGAGTCTATACTTCTGACCTTTTACTTTGTTGAACCTGCTGCACGTTCCTTATTCTTTCCTACATATGCTTGCAGCGTCTACTGTCAGGTCTGCCGGTGTCAGGTGCTGGGGGCCGCACTTTTGTAGTGGGTTAAATATTTTCTTACTGTTTAGCTGAGTACATTTGTTGCATTCTCCTTGTGGCTCTGTGTGATTTCCCGGAAAGATATAGAACAATTCAGAAAGAAGTAGCCACACTGTCACTACCAAAATTGGAAGTCTGTTTTCTTCTTTTAAAAAAAATAGTTTTTTTTTCCGAGTAGGTTTATATTGTAAAGGCATAAACATGTGCACAATGAAAAGTTCTCCTCTCATGTCTGTCCTCCGGCTGCTGAGTTTTCCTGTTTCCATTCTCCCATGTCACTTTCAGAGACAGTCTATGAATTAGGGATGTTTGCTTCTGAAACGATGGCATAGTTGTACTTTTTCCTATTCTTCCCACTAAGTACAGGTAAATAATATCTGGACATTATATATGTATAGGACAAACTTAAAAAAAATTCTGAAAGGCAGCGAGAGGAAGGCGGGCAGGACAGTGACCACAGGATGTGAGGAACAATATGGCAGTGGTTCCTTGGGTTTTCTTTCTGCTTCATGTATCTAGATTGCGGTCTAGAAAAGCCAGCAACCTGGAGATGCAGATGGATACACATTAAGAAATAAAAAAGCCCCAATAAAAGCCTATGCTCTCTAGGTAAAGGGCCAGGAAAGGAGCAGCCTGGCAACACGGAAAACTTTTAGACACTGACAGCTCCACTCTAGCCAAACAGCATGGAAAAAAATGATGGCCTCACCTTAGTCTGCAAATGCCGAGTGGAGAACCTGGCCGTAGATCCTTGCCAGGATGTAATAAAGTAACTGTCAGCCGAGGGAGGCTGACGTGGGGTTCTAGGAGGTGAGCGGCTCAAATGAAAAAAATGCACGAGGAGTTGCCATACCGCTGGACAGACTTCAGCAGGAGACACCATGGGGTTAACACTTTATTGCCACAGGGAGGTGCGCGCCTATGATGCACCTGTCCTGCTATTTATCTGTTCTCTGCCAGCACATGTGCAATCTGAGTTTCTTTGTTCATTAGGCTTACAGAATATCTCTAGCACATGCGTACTTCTATTTTCTTTGTTCTAAATCTTATATAATTGACCCATGCGTGGAGCAATTATTTACTGCGTACTATAAACATGCTCTGATCGTGGCCTTGGGTCCCACAGCCTTAGCTCATCTCAAGGCCAGCTCACAGTAACCCCCCCCACTTCCTAGCTGGGCTGGTGTCAGGGGAGGCCTGGAAGAGGGTTAGTGCCTTCAGCACCGCTCAGCAGTAATGAGCCGGTTCCTACGTCAGGGGCCTGGACTTCACCAGCACCAGCGGCAGCAAGGAGCCCTCTCCCACGCACTGAGGTGCTCACCCACAGGCCCCAGAGGATGCAGGGCTCTCACCACCACTCGGCAAGAAAGATGCTACTCCCTCACCCCTAAACCAGTGGAGGTCATGCGGGAACAGTAGTGAGGAGCCCCTCCTTCTCCCAGCCACAGAGGCATAAGAAAAACCTAGTAGGGAGACTTACCTTTTACTCCCAACCAGTGATAACAAGGAGTCATTCTGTCTCCACATGTAAATGGAAGCTGAGTGAAGAAACTAAATTTCTGCCCGCTACCTGCTAATAATGAGGTGGCACCCTCCTTCCCACAGCAGAATAATGTCACAGAAGGCTTAGAAAAACAGATGGTTTAAATAAGATTCAGAATGTCAAAACATAATATTCAAAATGACCAGATCTCAATGGAAAATCTGTCCTCTTACCAAGAACCAGAAAGTTCTCAACTCGAATAAGAAAAGATGATCAACAGGTGACACAGATGCTAGAATTATCTGCCAAGGAGCTAAGGGCAGCCATAATAAAAATCCTTCAACAAGCAATTATAAACACACTTGGAAGAGACTTTTTTAAAAAAAAGTCTCAGCAAAGAAATAGCACACATGAAGTAAAAACAAATGGAAATTTTGGAACTGAAAAAATACAATAACTAAAAAAAGAAAAAAAAACACTCTATCAGTGGGTACAGTGGAGAAGAAAGAAAAAAGAATCAATGAATCCAAGATAGATCAATACAAATTACCCAATATGAACAAGATAGACTAGAACAAGAGAAGATAGACTGAAAGAAAAAATAAACAGAGCATCAGGGACTGAAAAACTGTAACAAAAGGCCTAATGTTCATGTCATCAGAGCCCCAGAAAGAGATTATGTATATAGATGTGAAGTTTCTTAACAAAATATCAGCAAATAAAATCCAGTAATATATTAAAGGACTTGTACCCCATGACCAGGTGAGGTCTGTTCCAAGGATTCAAGACTGAGTAAGCCACCATGTTAACAGGCTAAGAGGAAGAAGCATGTGATTGTACTAGTTGATGCAGAAAAAGCATTTCACAGATTTCAACACCCATTCATGATTAAAAAAAAAACTCAGAAAATTAGTAAGAGAGGATAACTTCACCTTGAGAAAGAACACCTACAAAAATCCTATAGCTAATAGCAATCTTAATGGTGAAAGACAAAATGCTTCATCTCTGGTTGGGAACAAGCAAGGATGTCTGTTGTCACTGCTCTTCCTCCCCACAGTGCTGCAAGTTCTACCGAGTGCAATAAAGCAAGAAAAAGAAATGAGACATACAGAAAGGAAGAAATGTCTGGTCTGCAGATGATGTGACTGTCTACTTAGAAAATCCGAAGGAATCTATAAAATAATCTCCTGGATATAAATGAGTTTTGCAGGATCTTAGGCTACAAAGCCAACAACTGTATTGCTCCAGGCTAACCATGAACATGTGGGAGTGGTAATTAAAAATGCAGTACCATTTACAATGTCAAAAAAGCTTAATGAAAAATACATAAGCACCATACTGTGTGTACTTGCCTTTACTTTGTAACACTCACAGTGCTGACACCATACAGAAAGGAGAACAAAGGGAAAGCCAGTAAGACAGAGAACCATTGTTACAGAATTCATAACACTGCACAGGATCATTTGCACGGTGTAGTCTTTTCACAGTAAGTTACTTTCAGCAGCGGTTCAATGTTTGACCTTGGCTGTTCTGCACTGTGGCCCGAGTGCCTCTGCATGTCACAAAAGGCCACTCTCCTAGTGGACAGTTGATAACTCTCATTTGAACAAAACTTCAGCAAACAATGAACATTACTCATCTTCATCTAAGTGTTAATTAACAAACAATTGTAGGTAAGGCATGTTGGGAAGCAAGGTAGATGTCTGGATGTACTAATGGAAGAAATTAAGACTATACCACCTGGGGGCTCCATGATCACTGGTCCCACAGTTGCACAGGAATGACCACGTGCCATTTCACACAGGTCTAGAAATGACTGTCATACTGAAGTACTTAGAGCATAAATGATATTTTGAGATATTTATAATAGCTGTAATGGAATATTAAAAGTATGAGTGGTGGGTCAAAGAATATACATGTTTGATGTGGTGTGGGAAAGTCAGTGTGGCCACAGGAGGAAGCGAGAATGAGGCTTGGAAGGAAGAAGATTATTATATTCACAGGTCCAAGACGGAGGTCACTGCATGCCAGTCAGGGCCGTGCGGGGAGGCACCCTGTCGGTCAGGAGGCAGGAGATGGAAACAGGAGAAAGCCAGGCCAGAGCCTTTATTTGGCCTCCTCCGGGAAGGCAAGGCCGGCCAGGTTACCCAATTTAGGATTGATGAATTTGAATAATTTCCGAGGGCTTTGGGCTATCGGGGAGGTCTCTGGGTGCCTGGTACTCAGCCCTGGGATGATTTAGGGCAGGGGAGATGTTGGCTCGGTGGATGAGAGTTAGATGAGGAGTTAGTTGGGGGTGTAGACTCAAGACTGGTTGGTTTCCATAGGAAAGGCATGCTCCTGGTTGGCTGAGCCCTCTGCTCTCTCGGAGACTCGGCTGGTCCCAGGAGGGCCGTCTCTACCCAGCAGTGAGGCCACCAAAGCCAAGCATCAAGAATAAGAAAATAGAGCTAATATAGTTGGCTGTACGATCACTGGATGCCAAATAAACACCAAATCTAAGCAAGTACAGTTGGAACGGTCGGTTCTTTTGCAGACAGAGTCGTGGGTAAGACTGGTTTGTTGCCTCCATTCGTAATTGAAGAAAATGGTAAATTATAATTAGAAGTCAGTGAAAATAATGAGGTCCACAGGAAAGTCGTGGACTCCCTGAAACCAAACCCTGCACTAGAGGTTTGTAGACTCGTGGCAGTGATGTGCTAGAAAACTGACGGTGCAGGAGGGAGAAGGCGCACACGCACAGCAGAGAGAGCGTGGCCTCCACAACGCCCATGAAGGGGTGTGGGTCCCTCACGAGGGCAGGACCGCCGTCCGTGTCACCCGAGGGGACGCGTGGGGAGTGGGTACAAGTGGGTGCACATCTCTGTAAGACCTGGTGATGAGAAGCTGGGATGCCCGCAGAGCAGGCACGCACCCTCAGAGGGCAGAGGGGTGGGCCCAGTATTCAGGTGAAAGAGTCATTTTGGAAAGCGAGGAAGTGAATGCATTAGAGAATTTTGGGGGACTGCAGGACGTGGTTGAGTGACCACAGCTTCGTGGCAAAATCAGTCAGCAGTTTACATCTTCTTCTTGAACAAAGTTGAGCTGTGGGTTGTTTATAACCTTACTGATACCTTGAAAACAGTGTTCAAATACCACTGTGTTTGATACCATTTCTAATAATTATTTCTAATTATTACTTCCTACCACCAGAAAGGAAGTTGCAAGCTAATAATAACATGATCCAAAGGAAGGTTAAGAACTTTGACAGAATAAATGAGGATTTATATTATTTAGATTTTGCATAACCATTCAAAATTAATAACTAATTACCATATATAATCATAGTTGTTTTTATCTTGACTATAACTTCAGTATTGGGGTTCTTGAGGAACACAGTCTTAAACACAACTCAGGGCCCAGTAAAGTATTTATTTGAAATGCTTACTTACATGATCTGTATTGATGTGTTTTCTTTCAGTACGGACCAATATTTACAGTCTGTGCTGTGGGCACCCGAATGACCTTTGTTACTGAAGAAGAGGGAATTAACGTGTTTCTGAAATCCAAAGAAGTAAATTTTGAACTAGCAGTGCAAGAGCCCATCTACCGTACAGGTAAACAACATTTGCAGGTCTCTCATTTGAAATTCAACATCAAAATCCAAGCACATCTTCAGGCAACGACCACATCTTCACTCCTCTGTCAAGAATGATGCTGGCCCATTCTTTTATTATTAGGGTAGGGATAGAAGGAGAAAAGAGTATGTGATGAGTTTGGTCCCTGAAAAACAAGTTATTGGCAGCCTCAGACATTTGGGTCTCAGTTAGACACGTGTTAGAGATGAGGTCACCTCACTGAAGTTCCCTTTGGGAAGTGTTGGAATCTGTATCCTGTTGAATATTTGGAATCTGTATCCAGCTCCCAAGATGTCACCAGGTCTGTTCTGCTGTGTACACAGCTCTGGGCTTGGCCACATGTTGCTCCTCTGCTCCCTGAACACTGAATTGCACTGTTAAGTAAGCCCCCTGACCGTGGCACTTCCTGACAAGTCCATAGGGCTGGTAAGGTCAGTGGGGTTTGGCTTCATGTAATTGGTACCCCTCCACTCCCCATCCTCCAGGACTGCTGGGCGGTACTCGTCAGCGCGCTTCCAGGGCGACCGTCCGCCTTTATTTCTTCCCCAGCTGCAAACACGCGTGCCGAGGCCATCTGCCCTCCCAAGAACGCGGAGCTGGCTCATCTTGTGCCAGGTTCTCTTCTCTGCCTTCACAGAGTGCTTGCCTCCACCGTCGTGGCTTCTTTCTTTTTGTTTCCCTCTCTGCTTCTTCCTTGGGTTCATTTTCGTATAGCTTCTTGTGCATCTCTTGCTGTTGAGACAAGAAAGTTTGTTTGCACGGCTGTCAGTGATCCATAGCATGATTACTATTTCTCGTTGCCTGCGTGAAAAAAAAATCACAGCCTGAGGGTTACGTTTTTGGACTATTTAGTGCTTCTTGGTATTTAGACTGGAATTCCAGGTCAAAGAAGCATAAATATTTTGAAGGATCTTGATCTGTAACTTGACAGGTTTCTTCAGAAAAATATGCCAACTTAGCTATCAGAGATGTAAGTAAGTGATCAAGTTTTTTCACCTCTGCCTCCCCTGGGGATTTTGTGCTTAAATATTTCTACTTAACAGATGAAATATGTTAATGTTTACTCTTTTTTCAACATTTTTTATTGATTTATAATCATTTTAAAATGTTGTGTCAAATTCCAGTGTAGAGCACAATTTTTCAGTTATACATGAACATATATATATTCATTGTCACATTTTTTTCTCTGTGAGCTACCATAAGATCTTGTATATATTTCCCTGTGCTATACAGTATAATCTTGCTTATCCATTCTACAATTTTGACTCTCGAGCCAGCTCTCCATTCCTCTCATATTGTCCCCTACCATACAGAAGATGTGTGCTCAGGAAATGTAAAAATTATTCTGAGTTAACTTACACAGAATGTAACCTACACATAGTAGGATGATGAATGTATGTTTTGTAAACCTCCTATTGAAGACAATACAATAGGATTAAAGAAAAAATACAAAGAATAATGAATTTAAGGACTCAGACTGTTAGCTCCTGAAAGGAGCACAGACACTAATAGAGAGGATACAGTGGCGCCAAAGTTACTCCTGGGGTTGGGAGATGCCTGCTGGTGGAAGTGATATTCACAGAGACACATGAAGGAGAAAAGAAATTAACAGGAGAAATGTATGGCTTGTAGGTGTGGGGGTCCGGGGCGGGGATGGGATGAGGTTGGTCAAGTAGAAATGTTCTGAGCGGATAGAATGGCTCCTGAAGATGGTGAGATGTGTAAAAAAGAGCAAGTGTTTTCAATATACCTGCAATATATATTTGGAGGCAGAAGGGGCTGGAAATATTGGAGAGACAGAGAGATGGTAGAAGGCTTGTAAACGTTGTTAAAGATAGGAAGCCAAGGAAAAATTTTAAACATGGAAACAGAGTCACTAGCTTTGTGTTTCCCAGAGGCCTTCTTAATCACCCATCCCTTAAAGTGACTTACTCTGTAGGCTTTCTCTGTCTCACAGTCTGTGTTGAATCCTCACCCACCTTTATTTGCAGGAGGTGATTTGATGTCCTGGGTGAACTCTGACTGTAGCCCCTGCTGACCATTGAATAGTGGAGGTATATGGATTGTTTGCTTCAAGGAGTTGTTGCTTCTTTTGAAAATCGTTTTCTCTGTCTACAGCATCAATTCCAAAGAATATCTTTTTAAAACTGCATGAAAAACTTTATGTCATGCTGAAAGGAAAATTGGGGACTTTCAGCTTGTATCAATTCACTGGACAACTGACTGAAGAATTACATGGACAACTGAAGGATTTAGGCACTCATGGGACCAGGGACCTGAACAGCCTAGTCAGGTAAATTGATGCCTTATTATTTAACCTTGAGGTTTTTTGTTTTGAATAAAAGAACTTAATGCCTATACGTTGGACTTCAAAAATTATCTGGTAGATAAGTGAAGTCTACCTAACTAGGCAGTTAAAATTATATTAGTCTCTTAAATTCTAATTAATGGGCAATTTTCAGTGCACACTTCAATTTTAAGGTGAGCAAATAAGCCAATAAAATCATTTGAACACATCTACAATAATTTCTCCCTCGTCGTCCCGTACAGTTTTGTACTCCCTACGTGGATTTCCCTCTTATAATTGCCATGCATCCATCAGAATTTTGATAAAACATTGAATTTGTGATTATTAGAAGAGGACATGTAGAAGACAGGGAAGAGGACAGAATCAGAAAGTAGATGGCCAGGGTCCAGGAGATGTTTGTGAGACTCGACAAGGTGGCTGGCGGGAAGTCACCATGGACTTCAGGGCTGAGCCCAGCATCCTTTGAGCAGGGAGGTGCTAAGAGGCAGGTGAGCCAGGCGAGGACAGTGGAGAGAGCCAAGTAGCCCTCAGCCGTGTTCTGGGGCTTTCCTGGACACACACCTCTGGAGATTTGGTGAATTGAACTCACCAGTGAGGCACTTTTCCATCTCAGTGGGATATGGGGATGCTGGAGGCAAGAATCAACGGTTCAGACTCATAAAACACAACAATATTTAATATTTTGTTAGAAGTCCAGAAAGAGAGAGAGAGAAAAACAAAAATAAGGACAAAAACAAGCAACCAACCAAACTTTCAGCCTGCCTCATGTCTACAGCAAAACAAAGCACATTCTTGAATAACTTTGAAACCTTGGGGAAGGGAGATCCTAAGAAATTTCTGTAAGGAAGAGATGGTAAATAAAAATGGACTAAACAGTACTTAGTGTTACTAATCTAGGGCATATTAACAGTCTCTGATGCTCTCCTACATAAGCATAGCACAGTGAGCATCTTACTCACTCGCAGGGACAATTATTAATGATAGATACTGTATTTCAGTGGGCAATGGTTCAGATGTGTAGGAGCCTGTGAGATATTAGGAATTTGCTGACATTGCCCTTGATTCTTTGGGTATTTTTTTTTTGCTGCTTTCTAAAGAGATGGGTTGTATCTTAGTTACTGTTATTATTTGCTAAATAAATGCTTTTTGCGGTTGTATCAAATCAGTCTATTTCTGTGTATCATCTCACGTCTGTCAGGATCTGACAATGCTTTGCTTGGAAAGCATTTCACAATCTTCAGATACATAAGACCACAATTTCGGTTACGCCCAAGTTATTTTGAGCATAGTAAGCAAATATTAAAACCTCAAAGAATCTGTCACCTATGACTATCTGCCCCTAATACACAGCTATTAAATAATGCCTTCTTTTGCATCCTGCGCCGTTCTTCTTTGGCCATCAGCTCTGACATTTTACGTATTTCTGTCTTGGCAGGCAAATCCTTTACCCCGCCACAGTGAATGTGCTCTTTAAAAAAGGCTGGTTTCCCACAGACGAGAGGAGAATCAGGGAGTTCCATCAGCATTTTCAAGCTTATGACGAAGGTTTCCAGTACGGGTCCCAATTGCCAGAATGTCTCCTAAGGTAGAGAGTTGTTTCCTGTGTTAATCCCCTGACCAGGCTCCTCTCAGCAGTTCCCCCATTTCTCTCACTCCCTTGTTCTGAGTAGTGGAAGTGGAAGGGATGGAAGTTCTTTTTTGTGACCAGTTTGGTGTGTGTGTTTGTGAGAGAGGGAGAGAGGGAACTGAGGGAGGACCTGAAGAAGAGAGATGGATTATTTCCATTTTGTTCTCATTTTGAGGAACAAAGGAGTGGGGGAGAACGTGGCAATGAAGCGAAGCGTTTACTTCGAGCCTTTTGTCCCGTGTGCAGCTTACTGCTATCACACTGACTGCCACAGCAAGGGACCCTGCTACATGGTCAGGTGTGACCTGGGTCAGACTCAGACACTGTCCTATCTCCCCGGGGCAAAAGCAGGTGTGGTCAAAAAGCACTTCTCAGAGTTGGCACAGATAAAATTTATGAAAAGATTTGAATGCAAAGTAACACGTGACTTTTTAATCTGTTGGCAGCTGGTCTACAATGGTGATGGCCAGAAAAGATTAAAAAGCTCTTAGTCAGTTTGCTTTACTGGACTTAACGCAGCAGCGGGTCCCCAGGCTAGTTTCCCATCCTCCTGCAACTGCCAACAGCCAGAGCAAACACAGACTAGACCAAGCAAGTCCTGAGCCCCGTTTCATGTTCTGGAGCTTTCCTGGACACCGCAGTCATTCAATGCCAGTGCTTTAAGACTTTTGCAAACATTTATTTGCAAAAGATCCTAAAATGCTGCTGCCTTGCCCCCTCATTTTTCCTTGTGGACTAATGAGTTTGAAGGTAGACTGCTTGTGAAATTCTGGCTGAAAATGAAGAAGCCTTTTTGGGGAAATAGTTAAAATTCCATAAGCATTGCCCCTTGTATGCTGTGACCTGTAACTCCTAAAGTGCTTTCAAATTAATTTATACACATATATTCTTTTCTTTCACCTAGAAAATGGTCAAAATCCAAAAAGTGGCTTCTAGCGCTTTTTGAGAAAAACATTCCAGACATAAAAACACACAAATCTGCAAAAGACAATTCCCTGGTAAGTATTCCTTCGCTTTTTTTTTTTGCTAAAATACATGAGATGAAAACAGTAATAAATGACAATCGTTAAAGAAGTGTTTTTGCTGAAAATCATGAGATGAGTTGGATACCGTTTTTGTGCCAGGCACTGACTGTGTTGGACAGTTTGCATACATTATTTTATTTTTCCATCCTCACAACGGTGAGGTAGGTGTTAACCCTATTCTACATAAGAAAACGCTGAGGATACAGGCAACAAAATAAAAAATAGTCTGAGGGATTTTTTTAATTGATTTTTAAAATTGATACGTCACACAGTGGTTGTGTCAGCAGCGACAGGTGGAGTTCCGGCAAATTAGGCTCGACAGAGTTAACTTTGTTCTTGAGGTCAGCATCGCTGATTCTTTCTTTCTTCAAATGCAAGGACGCAGTGTGATATAATTTAGAAAGCAAGCTGAGGGGAGGGTATAGCTCAAGTGGTAGAGCGCATGCTTAGCATGAACAAGGTCCTGGGTTCAACCTCCAGTGCCTCCCCTAAAAGTAAGTAAACTTAATTACCTCCTCCCCCCCAAAAAATTTCTTTTAATTAAAAAAAATAATAAAAAGCAATGCAACAGATAAGCACTACTATATATAAAATAGATGAACAACAAGGACCTACTGTATAGCACAAGGAACTATATTCAATATCATGTAATAACCTATAATGGAAAAGAATCTGAAAAAGAATATGCATATATATGTAAAACTGAATCACTCTGCAGGACACCTTAAACTAACACATTATAAATCAACTACAATATAATTGGCGGCCATGTTACAAGAAAAAAAAAAGCAAGGCACTGAGAGTCAGGGTCCTAAGTGTCCCAGATCTGTGGTTCTCCATCATTGGTCCCCTAGACCAGTGGTACCCATGTCACCTGGGAACCACTCAGTCAGAAACCCTGGGAGCCCAGCCATCTGTGGTGTCATACGCCTTCCAGGTGGTTCTGCTGCTTGCTAATGAGTGGTCCTCAGCTCTGTCTGCTTATTAGACTATCTGAGCGCTTCTGAAAACTACCTGATGCTTCAGACTCACCCTCAGAGACTGGAATTCGTTTGGCCTGGGCTGCCCAGGCTCACATCCAGTCACCACGGCGTGACCTCGGGCGTGGTACCCAACCTCTGGGCCTCATTTTCATCACCTACCTCGTAGAGTTGTGGGATTCAATGAGTTAACATTTGTAAAGCGCTTAGAACATAGTAAGGACACTCTCAGAATTTGTCATCGTTACTCTCACTGAAAAAAAATCACTTCATGTCTTTTAGTATTTAAAGATGGTATCAAACGTATTTGTTTGTTTGCTTTTAGTTACGATAGCAAGTGTTGTCACAAACCACTCTGCTTAACCCTGGAAAGGAGGATAACTTTAGGGAAAAAGGAATGTGTGGGTGTTTCAGGCTCTCCCTCCCGAATGAAGGCAGTAGGTAGCTATGCTGGAGTGCCCTTCACTGACACACTGTCTCCACTCAGGATTCTGTTTTACAGACACGTCCAGACAAACACACATTTTTGTCTGCATTATTTTTCAGGATTTAGGGGTGAAGCCACATGTGTATAAAAGCTGCCCCTAAATAGATCTGTAGCCTATGAGCCTAGAAAATAGGGTTTTTAATGCCCCAGTTACAACTCCCCACTGACAGTATTTCTCACATAGCATTTATTTTTCTTACTCGGAAGAAATGAGGCACTTTAATCATGTGCTCTAACTCCCTATTGGAATAAAGACAAAATTTGAAATTTGCTGTAACTAATCCAATGTTTGTGACTGGGGCAGAGTTCAGTCTGAATACTCATGAGCTGCGTAACTTCATTTTTTTTTTTAATGTTTTGTTCCTGTTTTCCTCTAGCAGTGTTCACACAGAGTTTATGTTTTTATACCCACATTAAAAAAAAAGTGAGCTAAGAAGAAAATAAAAGATTCTGTTGTCTTTCACTGCCTAAGTAGATTTCAATGGCCTGGTTAAGCAAAAAGACCAGAAGATGGGTTTTTTTTGTCTTTTAAAAAATACTATACACACATTTTATCACATCATAATTTTATCACCTTTTAACATAAACGATTTCTCCCATGTTACCCTAGATGTATATTCAACTAGTAGTTTCATTTCAAATTAATACTACACTGCAGAATAGCACATCAGAAGAATGAAATACATTTATAGGATTTTTCATGAGATATAAGCTTTGTGCCGTAAATTGTAAGCGTGATAGAAACCAGGAGTAAATTAAATTTATACCCAAATTATTTTCAAATCTGCTAATCCATTATGACAAAAACAGTCACAATAAGACGGCCCTAAGGCTTATGAGGCGCTCACTCTGTGCTAGGCCCAGTGGTTACACATTTCACAAATTCATGGCTCACTTATTTTTCGCAACCACTTGAATACCCAGAAAGCTGGGGATTA